CTTTCCCTGGCAAGCACAAAATCCTTGTCTTAAGAAAAACAATGGGGCCAGCAGATAGTACAGCAGTTATATTGCTGGACTCCCACATCGACAACCGTGGGTTGAGTCCTGGACCTGGTAGCTTGAAAATCATGTCAGACATGCGTGTGTGTGTGTGTGTGCAGACATGCGTGTGTGAGTGTGTGTGCATACATACCCAAGACCCCGGAAGGACAATGGAGGAAAAGGGTTTGTGGTATGGCCATTCCCCCTGGGGGTGATTTCTTGCTTTCTCTCTCTCTGTCTCTCCAGTGAGTGCACATGCCCTATTGCAAAAATATCCCTCAAAATAATAAAAATTGAAAAAGAAAGAAAAACCCATCTTAAACCTGATATTAGAAGGAATACATGCTATGGTTGACCATTATACACACTACAAATATATATACACACAGATACAACTTTAAAGAATATGTGCAATATTATAACGTGTCTTTTAAACCAATTATTAGAATGAAATTTAATCAAATGTTTTTTGGCAATTTTGAGAAGATCATATTGTATTGCATTTTCTCCTGTGACCTAAAACAGGATGAATTTTAGTAATTTGCTTTCTAATATTTAATTTCAAAATTGAAACATGGCTGAATTTGTGAGGCATACTTAAAAAAATAATGTACTGCTGGTTTCTGCTTATTCTTGAACTGGCATGTTTTTCTATCTATAGTCACAATGAAATTAAACCACAGTAGGGTTTACTAGTGCCAGCTTAGTCACATCAGTAGTATGCTGGTTTTGCAAAAAGCCTTGAGAAATTCACCCTTTTTATTCATAGGCTGGGACAGGTTAAAGGGCAGAATTACCCAATTTCTAGAAGAAATTTCCTGAGCCTGGATTTTTTTTCTTTGTTATTGTTGCCATAAAGTTGGGACTATTCTTTAGGTTTTATTACTTTATTTTATTCATTTTGCCATCTTTCTGGAAAGTTGGTCAAAGGTTTTCACATGTGGAAATAACATAACAAGAGCAATATTTTGTGCAGATCACTTTGTTAGCTGTGTATAAAGAACAGATATGGCAAGAGAGAATTTGGAAATGTCAGCATTTCCTCATGAGATCTTTATTCATAGTAGCAGAAAAAGGGCAATTGGGTAACTGAATTAAAGCAGGTTGTTTATCCTTCGCCATACTAATCCCCAAACTATTTTCAATCACAACATACCCTAGTAATACACTTTACTTGGAAAATAAAGTTAATGGAGCTGGCAAGTGGCATGGTGGTTAAGGTGCTGAACTCCCACATGACTTAACCACAGTTCAAGTCCTGGACCTGGTGGCTTGCTTTCTCAGTCTCTCTGTCTTTCTCTGCTCAAACTGAAGAAAAATATTTAATGTATAAAATTTAAAATTATTTTTTAAAAAAAGAAAATAAAGTTAATAGTAAGCACAGGAATTAACACTGATAATTGAATAAAAGAAGTTCAAACTTAGAAAGAGATTCTAGATGATTTATGAGGAATTACTACCTATTGTTCCTTGGATCACCTTGCTATTTCAGCACCTTGTAGTGAATATTACTGATAAAAAGAAATAAACCAACAATTTATTCAGACTCATCTGCTCAGAAGTTAACTCAGCTTACAGGAGTTGAAAACAAGGTGACACATTTGTAAATGCATGCATTTCTGTTTCTGCTATCAGTATGTAAAATGAAGCATAATCACTTTATAGTCTTTACATAATATAAGGACCTCACAAATTGAAGAAAGGGAGGAGGATGAGATTGTGTAATTGTGTAATGGATAGCGTTTTACTTTGGTGTAATGAAAATGCCCTGGAACAAGACAGAGGTGATGGTTGCACAATGCTGTGAATGTACTAAATGCCACTGATGATATTAAACGGTAATTTCATATCAAGTGAATTTCACCTTGCTATCTATATGAATGTAAGTGGGTTAACTACACTCTGCACACAAACACTTATTTTCTGTGCTGCTAGTCATCTAACAAATAAATGCAACAAATAACAAAAGGAATGAGCAAGAGGCCAAGCACAGAACAACAGAAATTTAACATCTCTAGAAAAACAAGCCATTATATCCTAATTCCACTGCCTTCATATCTAGTATACCATAATGCAAAAAGGATTTGTCTCTGAATAAGGAATTTGAGAAGGTGGGGGTGATAGAATATAATAATTATTCTTTAACAACTTTTCTTACTCTACAACCCCAGAGACCTAATTTGATGACAACTTTTGATGTGAGATATAAACATATAAAATTTAAATGTTACAGGAAATAGAAATAGCAGGTGAGTGAAGGTCTTACCTCTGAACTCGAGCCCTCGCAGCTGGAAGGTGACCAGACCGTTGCCAATCTCTATCAGGTGTACTAATGCATTAAGATAGTCAGAGGCAAGGATGAAACAGTCCCCTGTACTGTAGTTTCCCCACCGTCCTAGTAGCAAATCACCACAGAGACTGTGTTGTAGGGATCTGGTTAAATGTTCATAAAAGATGGAATTCAGGTTATTGTCATCTGATCCTGTAAGAAGAAATGAAAAAAAAAATTAAATAAAAAGAAACAGTAATTTTACTTCAGTCCCCTTTATATCAACAAACAAGACTGTTAAAAATACTAAACCTGGGGACCAGCAGATAGTATAATGGTTCTATTACTGGACTTCCACATAGTTGACTGTGGTATGAGTCCTGGACCCAGCAGCTTAAAACACTCAGGGTGCATGTGCATGTGTGCCCAAAATCTCAAGAGGAGAATGGAGGAAAAGGGATAGTGATGTGGCTATCCTCCTGGTAGGGTGCTTTGCTTTCTATTTCTCTGTTTCACTCTGCCTCTCCGGAGAGCGCACGTACCCCATAGCAAAAAATTTCTCAAGAAAAAAAAAAAAAGCATTAAAACTGAGCCAGCAGGTGGTGTGGTGGTTAAGGTGCTGGACTTCCACAAGGTGGACCACAGTTTGAGTCCTGGTCCTGACAGCTTGAGATCATGCTGGGCACATATCCTTGCATGTCCAAAATCCCAGGAGGAGAATGGAGGAGAAGGGACTGGGTGTGGCCATCCTTCTGGAGGGTGGTTCCTCACTTTCCCTCTCACTGTCTCTTTCTGTCTCTCTCCAGTGAGCACATGTGCCCTACTGTAAAAACATCTTTTTTTTAAAAAAATTTAAACTAACTTCCAGTTAGAGTTATATTCATATGACAAGGAAAATAATATTTATACCTTTATAATGTCTATATAAAAATAAAATAGGATAATGGGAAAGGTGTTAGAAATTAGAGTTAGAAGTCATATAACCTCTCTGAATCTAGTCCTCAGTTTATGGAGTACTGTTGTTATCCAGTGAAACATGCTGTAATGTACTGAAACCATGAGTGGAAATGAAAAATACTGGAAAATTCACAAGGAGAACAAAAAATTATCTGATAAAGAAAGTGGGTAAAATAAAACAAGTTTTGAAGAAAAAAGCCAGCAAAAAAAAAAAAGAGCTGATAGAGGAGCAAAGAACCTACAAAACTGGATGTTAGGGTTATCGTTTATAAAACATTAGGATAAAACATCATTACAACAGTAAGCGGGCTGACCATCTCTAGAAGTAACCCATCCAAAGCAATAGCCTGTAAACAGGCGGCCCAAGTAGAGCAATGGAGACTGGCAGACTGCAAAGCTTTGTCATTATTTTAAACCCGGTCTAGTTAAATAATAAAATGTATAAATGAAACATGTCAGTCCAATTGCATCTGAGATTCTAATGTCAATAAAATGATCGTATCTGATTCTACATCTGCCCGTCACCCAAGTGTGTCTGCTGATTCAGGCACGGCCTTGCTGCACAGGACGGTGTAATCAGCATCACGGGAATTCCAGTCACCCACAAGCACATGCCAGAACTGAGATGCTTTTTTCTACCAGAATGTGATGATAGCCTTTAATATTAAATAATGAATTCTGCCTAATCTGATTTTATAGTGAAAAATCAATCATACTCTTATAGTTTGGTTTCTCAGAAGAGCAAAGCATTTGAGGGAATCTATAAATTAAACAAACACAAATACTCCAGTCTATTTGGGAGTAGTATCTCTTAGCAAACTACCATATTAGAGTTTTGGTTGATACATTAACCTCTATGGCTGAGGTATTAAGATTCACTTTTGGGGCCAGCAGGTGGAATGATGGTTAAGGTGATGGACTCCCACATGACTGATCTTGGTTTGAGTCCAGGATGTGAAGGCTTGCTTTCTCATTCTCTCTTTTTCTCTCTCTCTTTCTCTCTCTGGTGAGTGTGCATGCCCTATAGCAAATTAAAAAGAATAACAATAAATAAAATTAATTCTATATTTTATATTATATATATATATAATATATAAATACATACATACACATATATATATTTAAGGATTTAAAGACTCACTTTCTCTGGGTCAGATTACTATAGGGTGCACTGATATAATGATGTTTTTCATATAATAAAACTAAGAACCAGATTTTAGGTAATAGTAACATCACCAAAGTGCCACTCAGTGAAGCCTTACATTGAATGGCTATTTGGCCCCACAGATGAAGTTAACATTTACCTAAGTGTTCAGGGAAAGGTAGAAACAAATCTTCTACCTTTAGTAGAATACATTAATAAAACATGTATTGGTCTAACCGCACACTCTTCAACACACCAAACCAGTTTTACTTTAACTGTTTATTACTTTTTAACCTACGTAAGAATAATTTTTGAATAGCATTTTAAAATTCCTATCAGTATTTTTGAAATACATACTATAAAACACATGGGCATATAAGTTGTAGATACTCTAATTACATATACTTTTTAACATAAAAAAATAAAGCAAAGGAGATTTACTGTTTGAAAAATGACTATTTGCAATTCATAAAGGATTCTCAACAAGTTGGAAGTAAATATAAATACATATGTAAAACAAATCTTTAAACTTTCCTCCATACCTGCAGACAGAACTATTACCTGGATTTCTATCAAGCTGGGAAGCCAATCTGGTATTTGAATGATCCACTCGTTTCGTGCTGAAGAGAATAAGACATTTTTAGTAACTTTCTTTATACTTTAAAATGCTTAGTAACTAAGAGTAAGGGAGAAACTAGAGAATATAGATGAAATAAATATTATCTCTTTAATCAAGTCTCTAGGAAAAAAATCTGTAACTAGTACAATGATAAAACTCTTTAATCGGCACACTTTAGGGGTAAGAGTTTTTGTTTTTCACTCACTCACCTTCATCACACACAATAGTTTCTTTTCCTAACTGGTGTTTCATTGCACAGTATGTGGAAAGATATCTATGAATGCCCTAGAGGAAAAAAAAACTGACCAGGATGAAAAAATGCATACTGTATATGGCTTTTAAAAATTCACAGGGGACCAGCAGTTGGCGTAATGGCTATGTCACTGGACTCTCACGTAGTCGACCGCGGTTCGCGTCCCGGACCCAGTGGCTTAAAACACACGCCAGGTGCATGTGCATGCATGCCCAAGATCCCGAGAGGAGAACGGAGAAGGGATCGTGGTGTGGCCATCCCCTCTGGGGGGTGATTGCTTGCTTTCTGTCTGTCTCTCTGTCTCTCTCTGTCTGTCTGGTGAGTGCATGCGCCCTATAGCAAAAAAAAACCTCTCCAGAAAAAAAAAAAATTCACCATCCAGGGACCAGCAGTTAGCATAATGGCTGTGCCGCTGGACTCCCATGTGGTTGATCACAGCTTGAGTTCCTGGACCTGGCAGCTTAAACTCACGTCGGGCGTATGTGCACGCGTGCCCAAGATCCCGAGAGGAGAATGGAGGAGAAGGGATTGCGGCATGGCCATCCCCCCTCGGGGGTGATTTCTCGCTTTCTGTCTCTCTGTCTCTCTCTATCTTTCTGGTGAGTGCACGCACCCTATAGCAAAAAAAGAAGAAAAAACCTCTCAAAAAAAAATTTCACAGTACATAAAACATTATTTGCAAGAACAAAGCACATCAATTAATGCTTTGTGGCACAGTGCTCTTTAAATTTTTTTAATTCATTTATCTTTTCCATGAGACAGAGATGTCAGAGAGAGGTAGGCATCCCAAACAGAATCTCTATGCCGTGATTCACTCCTGGCTGGCTGGGAGCACAGGAATGCATGTACCTGGCAATGCTCAGGGGGGTCCCAGGACACAGACCCATGACCATTACCATGTGGGTCCTGCTGTGTCACCACCTGGCCCAGTACAGTGTTCTTTAGAACAGTAGCTCCCAAAATGTGGTCCACAGAACCCCAGATTCTTTTAGGGAGCGTTTCAGATCAAAACTATTTTCATAAAAATATTGAGCTATTAGGCTAACCAGTGGCCTGGTGGTTAAGGTGGCTGGATTCCACACAGGCAACTACGTGGTGTGCATGTGTGCGTGCCCAAAATCCTGAAAGGAGAGATAAACAGAGAAAGGACTGCAGAGTGACCATCCCTCTGAAGGCTGTGTTCTGGTATTTCTCCTCTCTCCCCCAAAGAGTGGACACACCATCTGGCAAATTAAAAAAAAAAAAAAAAAGACACGCTGAGCTGCTGTTTGCCTTTTATTCGCTGTTTGCAACTGCACTGATAGTACAAAGCAAGGGCAGCAAGGCTGTAGGTGCCTGAGCGGGAATCAAGGCAGGCAGAGGCAGCAAGCTGTGCTGTTCTTCACTGCCAGGCTTGCACAGAAACACAAACGCAAGCTTTACTCTACGACGCCCCTAATGAAGCAGTAAAGACGACTGATTTCACTGCAGTTTCGCCCTCCACACAGGCATTTTTAATATCCTTTATGGTAGAATGAGAAAATGCACAGAGTGCCTCTGCCGCCTTCAGACGCCCCACCGTTTTCCTTGACGAGAGCATCTGTGCAACTACTTGAACTGAAAGCTGAACCAGTTTTCTTGGCGCACCATTTTTACTTGAAGTATGAGAAACAGATTTTTCAGATGTGCATATTTAACAGATGTTTCTCAAAAATAAGGTCTGTCATTTCATGGAAAACAATTGTTACTATCTCTAGATAATAATGAAATTCAAGTTTCCAAGCAAAAATCCAAATTTTGAAAATCTTAGATCCATCATCATGAGCCTGATAGATTCCTTTTCCTTTAAGACTTTTCTTTTGAGATTGGTGATATCTATGAATACATTTTTGAAAGCATTCCATAATAAAATGTATCACCATTTGGGAGATCTACAATAGTCAGCAAACCAATATTTTACAAATAACCGATATTATATGCTGCTACAAGTTTATAAATGGGTAAAAGATACATTTAAAGTACAAGACAAATGAGTGAATTTGATGTGTAATATAATTTCCAAAGTTCACTTTAGAGTCCACGCTGCAACTAGCTTTTAAGAAACTATCATTTGCTGGGAACCAGCAGTTAGCGTAATGGCTATGTCGCTGGACTCCCACGTAGTCGACCGCGGGTCGTGTCCCGGACCCGGTGGCTTAAAACTCACGCCGGGCGCGTGTGCGTGCGTGCCCAAGATCCCGAGAGGAGAATGGAGGAGAAGGGACTGCTGCGTGCCCATCCCCCCTGGGGGGTGATTTCTCGCTTTCTGTCTCTATGTCTCTCTCTGTCTGTCTGGCGAGCGCACGTGCCCTACAGTGAAAATCTCTCAAAAAAAAAAAAAAAGAAACTATCATTTGCTGGGGCCTGCAGATGGCACGGTGGTTAAGGGCACTAAACTCCAACATGGCTGACTATGGTTCAAGACCTGGAGGCTTGCTTTCTCACTTTCCCTCTCTCTCTTGCTCTGTCTCCTTGATAAATAAATAAATGCATAAAATTAATTAAAAAAAGGAAACTATCTTTGCTAATTTGCTTAGTTTTGGTTAAGGATCAAAAAACAAAAGAAAGAAAAAACCACAACTGTCTTTAAAAATTATTAAAATACTTCCTCCATTTTCTAACTCCATATTTGTGAAAGGTTGGATTTTCTCCCTATACTTAAACCATAACACCTAAATGCAGAAGCAGATATAAGAATCTACAGTCTTTTTAATAAACTAGACATTAAGATAGGTGCAAAACTGTGAAACAATGCCATTATTTTCATTAACATTTTAGATGGGAATAAATATTATCTCTTTAATAAAGTCTGGGAAACTGTGAATCTTAATCTGAAAATATTATTTATGTTAATGTACACTGAATATACTATTAATTAATACATGAAACTTCAAAATAGTTTTAGTATTCCTTTCCACTACTGCATTTTCATACATTTTTATGCATGTAAAGGGGTTCTGAGACCAAAAAGTTTAAAAGTTTCTATCATAAAACATTATTTTGTGTTAAAAGTTGGCCCCAAAGGAAACTACTGGACACAAATGACACTGAAATTCACAAAAATGGGAAACACCATGTATAGTTTAGATACAGGATCAGACTGAAAGTATTAAACCCATAAGCTTGTTAACTGTTTTAAAGAGAGATTATAATTGTTCTTTTTAAAGAATTATTTTATTTTAACTTTATTATTATTATCATTATTATTTTTCAGTTTGATCAGAGAGAGACAGAGAGAGAGAGAGAGAGGAAGTGAGAAAGCAAGCCACCAGGTCCGAGACTTGAACTGTGGTTGCCCATGTGGGAGTCCAGCGCCTTTAACCACCACACCACTTGCCGGCCCCAAGAGATTATAATTGTTACCTATTAAATATGACAGTGTTCAAAAGTATACAAAAAGAGGCAATCATGGAAAAGGCCAGTAGAGAGATTTTTGCTATAGGACATGTGTGCTTGCCAGAGAGACAGAGAGACAGAAAGTGATAAATCACCCTGAAGGGGAATGGCCAAGCTGCAATCCCTTTTTCTCCATTCTCCTCTTGGGATTGTGGGCATACACATACATGCTCCCAGTATGAGTTTCAAGTCACTGGGTCCAGGACTCAAACCGTGGTCGTCTATGTGGAAATCCTGCAACATAACCATTACACCATCTGCTGGTCCCTGTTCAGTTATATTTAAAGCTCTTAATAATGTTTATGCTCCACAACTCAGTAATTCCCATTTTAGAAACTCTTTCTTAAATAAAATTAAATCTGTAAAAATGGTATCCGAGGAGGGCCAGCAGGTGGGATGGAGGTTAAAACACCTGGATCTTAATGGCTGACTGAGTGGTATGAGTCACAGCCCAACGACTTGAAAAATATGCTGGGTACATGTGCGTGTGTGCCCGAAATTCCAAAAGGAGAATGGAGGAGAAGGGATTATGGCACGGCCAAATCCCCAAGAGGTGATTTCTCACTTTTCCTCTCTTATCTCTCCCTTTGGCAAGGTCATGTACTCTACAGCAAAAACTAAATGAAACAAACAAACAAAAAATACATATAAGGATAGTCACTAAGCATTAGATTTAACAGACTATCTAAGAAACTAAGCCTAAATGGAAAAAATATTTTGTGTACACAGATGGTCAATAAAGACTTAGCTCCACAAAAAGCAGAAATGAACTATGCGTTTAGCTCTAGGCCAGCACAGTAGTGTTGTGCTCCATGATGCTGAAGCCATATGGAACTGGGAGTCCTAGGATTACTGTGCACACTGGGTGCCTGTGCCCTGCCAATGATGCCAATGGTCCTGGCTGGCCAGGGGCTAGGGCTGGCCTGTGGCACGGGGACACCGTTGTGCATGTTCCACCTCAAGAAATCAAGGCTTTTAAAAAAAATCTAGCTCTAAAAATGCCAGTTATTGCTTTCTTCCTTTTTTTTTTTAATTTAAAATGCCAGTTGTTTCTTAAAAAATAAAAAACAAACTATGAGGAAACTCACTGTGACTCTTCAAAAATGGTACAAGATGAAGTGTCAAAGCATTATTAAGGTGGAATGATTCTAGGAAATACCAACGAAAGAGAGAGATAAGTATGTTGGGACCAGCAGTTAGCATAATGGCTATGTCGCTGGACTCCTGTGTAGTCGACCACGGTTCATGTCCTGGACCCGGTGGCTTAAAACTCATGTAGGGCAAGTGTGCATGCCCAAGATCCCGAGAGGAGAACGGAGGAGAAGGAATTGCGGTGTGGCCATCCCCCCGGGGTGGTCATTTCTTGCTTTCTGTCTCTATCTGGGGAGCACACACATCCTATGGCAAAAAAAAAAAAACTCTCAAAAAAAAAAAGAAGAAAGAGATAAGTATGTTCAAGAGTATTCAAAAATTTTTGGCAAACATAATTATTTTGAAACAACAGATTAAGAACCATAAATTGCGTCTAGTAATAATGGTATCAATGGATTTTCTAGTAAGAAAGATAAAAACTGTCTTTCAAGAGTTTAATTTCACTCACTTATAGTCTCTCTCCCAGAATTTCACGGGTCGAACATATGAAGTGATGAATATTGCACTTCCCAGAAAGGGGTTTAGTGGTGTAGAGAAGAAGGCCGATACAGCAGCTTGAATAAACAACATGGCTGAATCTAGAAGAAAACTAGTTAAGAAACAACATTCACCTGAGCACACATGCCAAAAAAGGAAAAGAAAAAAATCTCACGAACATACTTAAATTATACAATTAAGGACTTGAGGCCCACTTTTAGTGAAGGTGTCCTAAAGGTGTCCTAAAATGGCATAAGGGGGACCAAGAGAAAGGCCAAGAAAGTACAACCTGCTGTGGTGCTTTGAAGGGAACCAATAAATATTAGCTAATTAGCTGATAAAAGTCCATGTATCAATCCTGGGAAAAGATGCCTGGGTTTAATTTTCCACAAGGTTAAAAGTAAAATTTGCAAATACCGAGTTTGCAATTCAACATCAGTGTGGTCACTAACCTTTACTGTTATTTAGAAAGTATTTGGAAAAAATTATGCAAATTAAAAATTTCAGACAAGTCTTTTAAATCGTGATTATGGAAAGGGTTTTATACTTCCCTTTGTTTATTTAAAAATATTTCCAAACACATTTTGTATATATTAACAATTCTTGGGCTCTGATATTTGTATATGCAAACACAAAATTTTAAATCTGCATTATTTAAGTACACAACTTCAATACTTTTGACATAGTCAAATAATGTACAATCTACAGATGTCAACGGAAGTTAATCAAATTTGGTATAGGTGTAGATTCAAAAGATTGTATATTTTTGATAACTTATCATGTAGTAACCTATATCCTATGGTGGTGAGAGGTTAGGTCTATAAACTTATAGTCTCATCATGGGCCTGAATGTTCATTTTCATACAACTTTAATCGAAAGGATACGGGGCACAGCAAAGGGCTGAGCGAAAGCGTGGAAGGCAGAGCCCCAAGTAATCTGCCATGGGGCGATGTAGGTGTACACGAACTGCAATTTATAAAGGAGTTCCCAAAGCTGTAGGAGGAAAAGAAACACTGTCAGTAAAAAATTTATCATCAGATATTTGAATTAGAAAATCAAAAACCTATAAACTGTACTTTCTTCCTCATAGAAAAATGGCACTGAAATTAACTGCCACTCACATAACAGGAAAAGACATACTAACTGCCAAAATACTGTACTTACTTCCAGCAAAGACACTTTTTTAAAGTAAAGATAGCTAGCTGGCTCATGGATTTGTTTAAAAACAAACAAATAAATAAATAAGCCCCCTATTGGCCATATTACAACTACAAGTAAAACAAAGGTAGGAAGTAGCAAAGCAATTGTTTCTGAAAAACATTCTAGACGTATGCAAAGCTTAAGTAATACACATACTTATTTTATTCTAAGGCACATTTCCCTCAACGGTATTTTTGGAAACTGAGTATGTTTTCATTCCTTCAAAAGGGATGTGAAAGCAGCACTTGTGATACAGTTGTCACTGCCTGTTTGCACAGGAATTTGTGTGTAAACTGTTGTCAACAGAAACACAATATACATTTGAATCTTACTGAAACTTGGATCTGCTATCGCTGAACACACTTTCAACACTGCTGTGTTTGTCTAAGGTGCCTCTGCCTGCTAGACAATGCAAAGCTCAACTCTCAAAACTGACCAGAGAATATTAAATACAAGAGGTTCTGACTAATTCATTTCTGTGATTAGGCAACAAACATGTCATCGCTTTCTTTTCTTTGTTTGTTGTATTTCTTTCTTCCTTTTTCTTTTCTTTTCTTTTCTTTCTTTCTTTCTTTTTATTTTTATTTTTTTTAGATTTTTGCCACAGAGTGTGTGCTCTTGCCAGAGAGAGACAAAGAGAGGGAAAGTGAGAACCCCTCCCATCCTCCCATGCCATAATCCCTCTTCCTTCATTCTCTTCTCGGGATTCTGAGCACACGTGCACACAGGCCCAGCATGATTTTCAAGTCCCAGCTCCAGGACTCCAACTCCAGTTGGCCATGTGGGAGTCCAGTACCTTAACTTCTATGTCACCTGCTGGCCCCTCACACTTCGGCTATTAAGATACTTCAGCCAATTTATAAATGAACTTATTTAACTTCCAATTTAAGAAAGAAATCACAACTTCAACCAATTAGAAAACTGACAGACGAACCACTATTCTTCATCAGGTCTCAAAAGTATGAAAGCAATGCTTGGTACTTAACGTGAACAGGATCACAGTAAGTAAACACAGACTGTACAGCATCATGATTTCATTAGAGGTATTGAAAACAGTGACTAGAAAACTTCAGATTTTAAATATCAAACAGACTACTCAAATTTTGACTTCAATAGTGAAGAAACAATGATAGATAATTACATAAATAAGGAGTTGGTGGGTAAAAATATTTGTATATGCCGTTTTTTTCTTGAAACGTTATTAAATCCATGGTCACCTTACAAGGACATATTCAAATAAAAAGTATTCTAGGGGCCCACAGGTGGCATGTAGTTGAAGTGGTGGACTCCTACACAGCCAGCCACAGTTTGAGTCCTGGACCTGGAGGCTTGCTTTCTTACTCCCCTCACCCCCTCTCTCATAAGCACATGTGTCTGTAGCAAATAAAATAATAATAATAAAGTTAAATAAATAATTCTTTAAAAATATATAAAGAGATACCTTAAATGTTATTTGGTTATTATCACTGTTAAGTTCTACCTCTGATCATATGAAATGTAGCCTCCTGAAGGGCAGAACTTCCTCTGTTTTGTTCACTGATGAAGCCTAAGCATCTAGAACAATTCTGGAAAATGGTACTCTCTCAAAAATATTTAACAAATTAAAGGATTTTAAAAATCCCAACTAGTATAGAAGTAAAAGTATCAATTACATCTCAAAGGCTGTTTATATTTTACTGCAACTTTTGCTTTTTTCTAACAAGTATGATAAAATGTAATACACAATTCTCCAACTAAATATTTAAATTTGTAAGAAACCACATGCTTCTTTATACAAACAATACAATTCTTTGACTAACTTTTTGGCTTCTTCCTTTGGTTAATAATCATGCTCACTAAAAGAGGAAATAAATGATAAAAATGCATATGGATTAGTGGCTGAGCAAATATAATACTGAAGTATTTTAGAAGCTATTTATCACAATATTAAAATTGACTGCTTCTAAAACCTTATTCAGATGAATGATTTCCATTTTTACTGTCCCCACCCTAAGTCAGACCTCTATTGCATCTGAATTATTGTCATAATCTCTTAAACTGTTCTCCATACCTTTAGGTTCTCTCTTCCCCAATTCATCCCAAATGTGGCTGACCAGGCTAACTTTCCTAAAATTGGACTTTCAGTGTGTTTTGTAGCTGTTCATTTGCTTCAGCTCTGTTACCTATCAAATGGGATAATATATGTCAAAGTCCTTTGTATGTGGTCAGTGTTAACATGAAATCTAATCACTATTTAATTTACAAATAATCTGTACAACCTATTTCATTTAGAAAGGCAATGTGGTTCAGCACAAAGATTCTTGGACTGGGAGGCAGGAGATCCCGGCTTTACCATAGCGTCTGTAAAAGGTCTAAGATCACCCACGTTATGGGTGGATAGTGAATGTTAGAAGCATTCTGTCAAATTCAGAGTATTCTGCAAATGTCACAGCAAGCGAATTTCTAATGTTCCCACTTGGCCTCACTGTCCTCAGCATCAACCATCTTCACTCAGCTGTCGGGTCATCACCTTCAGCTAGAATTTGCGCCCTGTATCCAGCAGCCCGGAGCCCAATTCAATTATTACCACTTCTGTCTCTAAGATTATTCAAAGCCCCACCCCCTTTGGGAAGAGGCTATGTATTTAAAAATATCTACTTATTAGTGTTTCTCTAATTGTTCTACATATTTTAATCTTATTTTCCTAGCTATACTAAGAAACACATCTTTTGTGACTCTCAGTGACTAGTATTGTTTAGATTCTAATAGGCTAGTAAATTACTGGTTGACTGAAGAGAGCTATAACTCACTTAGAAGGTAATAAATCAAATGACACATAAGCAGAATCCTCACTAAGCAGCATTACTTAGGGAGACAATTTTATAGGATACCCCTCTCAGAGATAAATTACCTTGTTGAAGAGAATGGACATGAAGAAGAGATCCAACAGCATGGTTTCTGAAAAAGCTTCGTAGTCGAATTTGAAAAAGAGCACAGTGAAGATCACTGTGACGTACTGGTAGGTAGGGCTGCTGAAAGAGGATCGCAGCAACTTCAGACCAGCGACGGTGATCAGCAAAGCCCCCAATCTACAATGGCAAGAAAGCACCCCGTCACTGAAAACATCAGAAAGTCTACTAACTTCAGGAAAACCACTGTCTCACTTACCAAGCTTACAGCGCATAGAAAAAATTTAGCTTCTAAAAATGATTTACGTAGCTAAATAACTTATATACTGAAAGAATCTGACTGGTATAATATGTCCTTTTAATAATGTGTATATATAAAAATAAGGATGTTTTAAACATAAACCGCCTATAATTCTGACATCTGCTTCTCTAGTTTCTCAATATTTTGATTTCTTTAACATTAATTACATTTAGCACACGAAAATCATTTATTAACGTTTACTCGACAACATACACCTAGTCTAGTGGGAAAGGCCACTGTGGGCAACTAATCACTTTTGGGATATGATTTACACAGTACACAAAAGCAGCCATCTAGAAAATTGCCATCTAACACTAAATAGGAACCTTATTTCATAAATGTTCTCTCACAAAATATCAGTTGACAATGTGGTGTCTGGAATCTAAATGTGCCAAAATCACAAACAGATGTTTAAAACAGAAAAGTCAAAGAAAATTTCACCTGAATGTTTTATCTCACAGTCCCTTGCACTGAAGAGATAGATGCTTGCTGCATTTTTGATATTTGATCAATAATTCAGGATACTGCATGTAGCAGCCCCAGGAGGCAGATTAGAGGACTGCTTTACTCACTCTGTATCCAGTTTTTTGGGACTAGCAATCGTCTCGGCACTGCTACTAAGTTCATTGAGAACAATTAATGGATAGATGATATTCTTCTCCGCAAAAAGAAGCCACACGTGAAGTTTCTCAAACCACATCATAGTGGCTGCATCTACCAAGGCAATGTAAGTCAAGAAGATCAAGTGTTATCTAATGTATTAAGTAAGCAGTTTGTCAATGTAATGAGAATGCAAAAATCTTGCAACTCAAATTCAACGTTACACTATAAAAAAAGAAATCAAGAACTTTAGTTAATTGTTAACTTACAAATTTACAACTTAAAGATGACTTACATTAGATGTATTTTATTTTAAACCTTAATACTTAAAAATACAGTTTTAAAAAAGAATTTACTATTATTATCTTTAATTTACCATAGGGCGTGTATGCTCACCAGAGTGAGACAAACAGAGAGAGTGAAAGTGAGAGAGCAAGCCACTGGATCTGGGACTTGAACCATGGTCAATCACGTGGGAGTCTAGTGCCTTAAGCACCACACCACCTGCTGACCTGAAACTCTAGTTTTTAACCATAACTTTTTCTTGCTTACATCTATAATTTATGAAGAAAAGCTTACTGAAGTTTATTAGGCTGCCCCTGAACCCCCCAAAATATAATAACTTATTCAACTATTTGTTTTAAAATGCTAAAATATACATATACACACATTCATATATACTATCCCATAAGAAACATGGAGATATAATATGATTTTAATTCACAAACCTCGTAAGAATCATCTGCACTGACAAAACTTTTCCCAAGACTTCAATATTACTTCATTAGAGGAAGTATTTAGGATAAACTAAAAGATTTAAAGCACAGTTCTTCTGCTATCTAAAAAACAGAATCATGGGCCTATAGGTGGCATGGTAGTTCAGGTGCCTGATCCTACATGGCCAACTCTGATTTGAGTCCTAGACCTGTGATTGAAACCTTGAAAAATCACATCGGGCACGCGCACATGTGTGCTCAAAATCCTCAGAGGAGAATGGAGAAGGGACTGCAGTGTGGCCAACTCCCAAAGGGTGCTTTCTCACTTTCTCTCTTTTTGTCTCTCTCTCTCTGAAGAGTGTACATGCCCTATAGCAAAAACTATGAACAAAAACAAAATAGAATCACTTGGCTTTAGGAAATTCTCTATAAATTTTTTTTTTAACTTTTTTTTTTGGGGGGGGAGAGGTTTTTGCTATAGGGCGCGTGTGCTCGCCAGACAGAGAGAGACAGAGAGACAGAAAGCGAAAAATCACCCCCCAGGGGAGATGGCCACCCCACAATCCCTTCTTCTCCATTCTCCTCTTGGGAGCTTGGGCACGCATGCACATGCGCCCGGCGTGAGTTTTAAGCCACCGGGGGCAGGACGCGAACCGCGGTCGACTACATGGGAGTCCAGCACCATAGCCATTAGGCTAACTGCTGGTCCCTATAAATATTTTTTTGTAAAGTTGCTAAAATCAATAGGAGAGAAAAAATTAAGTTTGCTACTACCTAGTACTGTCAAAGTAAAAAATGTTATGCTGATTTGAAACTTGTAAAAATTTAGATAAAATGTTTTGTTAAGACCAAAGATAAGCAATCTGCTCAATGATTTATTTTAATGAAACTGCTAATCTTTAAAACAAAATAGGTAGGGGGCCAGTAGGTGACATCATGGTTAAGGTACTAGACTCCCACATGGCTGACTGCAATTCAAGCCTTGGACCCAGCGGCTTGAAAATCACACCAGGTACTGGTGTGTACATACCCAGAATCCCAGGAGGAGAATGGAGAAGGGATTGCAGCGCGGCCATCCCCCCAAGGGAGTAATATCTCACTTCCCTCTGTCTCTCTCCAGTGAGCATGCATGCCCCATGGCAAAAACCTTAAAAAACAAATAAATAAAGTCAATAAAAAAAACAACTAATAGGGACTAGCAGATGCAGTAATGGTTATGTCAATGGACTCTCACAAAGTCAACCATGGTTTGAATCTGAAACTCACGCCAGATGCCGTATACCTGTGTGCTTCAAATCCCAAGAGGACAATGGAGGAGAAGGGATTATGGCATGACTATCTCCCCTGGGGGATGACTTCTTGCTTTCTGTCCCTGTGTCATTGGCGAGTGCATGCACCCTACAGCAAAAATCAAACACACACCTAACACTCTTGCTTGTCAGAGATTGCTTGAGTGTCTGTCCTCACCCAAGTCTGTTCCGTGTGTCTATGTTTTGAAATGTGGGACTCTGGAGAGAAATGGGGAGGGGAGAGAAGGATATTTTGCCCTAAGGATGTTTATCTTTCCTTTTTTCTTTTGTTCTTTTGGGGATCTGTTCTTAGGGAGGGTGAGAATTGGGGGAACCTTGATCTTGTGTCTTTGTCAATAAACTCTCATTTACACACACACACACAAACCAAAAAACAAAAACAAAAACTAACATACTTGCTATCATGTAAATATGAAACCAATACTAACAGTTCACCATCAATAAATATCTTAATCTGAGTTACTTTTCTGATGGTAGGATAGGCCAGTATAAATTCTTATTACGTAGTTTTTGTCATTTTCTCTTGCTATACGCTATTCACACGTATTTTGTAAAAGGTCTGTGAAGTCTACTACTATAACTTCCACAGTAGTGTTTGTTTATTTTTCTTTAAGGTTTTTGCCATAGGGTTTATGTGCTTACCAGAGAGGGACAGTGAGAGGAAAAGTGAGAAATCACCCCCCCAGGGGGATGGGCACACTGCAATCCCTTCTTCTCCATCTTCTTCTCGGGATTTTGGGCATGCACATGCACCCAGTATGATTTTCAAGTGGCCAGGTCTTGGACTTGAACCACAGGTGGCCATGTAGGAGTTTAGCGCTATAACCATTACATAACCTGCTGGCTCCTTTAGTAGAGTTTATTTAATTATCTCTCCAGGATCAAGGTAATACTAACATGATGCTTCAATCAGTTTGCTAAAAGGACCAGGAAAGTTTACAACAGCTTCAGAGTTGTCTAAAAAAGTTAACTGCTCTTTACTGTTAGAAAGAAGAGTGTTAATGCAATACTTACTTCGAACTTCATACTGATTATACTCCACTGTCTTCAGCAGAGGATGAGAGAAACAGTGCCATGGCAGCTGTTTTCTAACTTGAGGCAGCACATAATGGGTTACAAAACCCACGAAACCAACCAATGCATACAACACATACTTGAGAGCAGGCTAAAAGAAAAATAAAGTTGAAAAAAAATTAGAAGTTTTTTCTTTTTTCTTCTTATTTTGGAGAGGTTTTTGCCATAGGGCACGTGCGCTCACCAGAAAGACAGACAGAGAGACAGAAAGCGAGAAATCACCCCCCAGGGGGGATGGCCACGCAACAATCCCTTCTCCTCCATTCTCCTCTCGGGATCTTGGGCACGCACGTACACGCACCCGGCGTGAATTTTAAGCCACTGGGTCTGGGACGTGAACCGTAGTCGACTACGTGGGAGTCCAGCGACATAGCCATTGCGCTAACTGCTGGTCCCCCCTAAAGTAACTTCTAAAGATAAAAATGGTAACTTCCAAGATGAAAAATACACTGGATGGGATAAAGGGCAGATTACATATTACACAAAAAATTTTAGAAAGTATCAATAAAACATACTCAAAGTTAAACATAGGAAAAAAAGAATTTAAACAGAGGAACGAAACCTCAGTGAACTATGAGACAACTTCAGGTCTAAGACATACGTCAATGCGGTCTAAGAGACGGTGGAGGTCGGGGATGCAAGAAGCAACAAAGTACAGAGGACAGGAAGGGGAAGACAAAAACTTCTCAAATAATGATGGCCAAAATTTTCCAAATTTAATAAAAGTTATAAAGCACATATTCAATGAACTCCAATTGCAAAAAAAAAAAAAAAAAAAGGAAAACATGAAGGTACATCGTATCAAATTACTCAACACTAGTGGTAAAAAGAAAATCTGAAAAGCAGCAGAGAGGACCATTCCTGTGGCCTGGTGGTTAAGGGAGCCAGATCTCACACTGCTGACCACATGGCTCGAGTCCCTGCACTGGTAGCTTGAAAAACACATCAGAAGATATGCATGTATGCCCCAAATCCCGACAGGGTGGAGAAATGGAGGAGAAGGGATTGTGGCCTGACCATGCCCCATTGGGGGGATACTTTCTCCCTTCCATTCCCCTCCTTCTCTGTCAAGTACATGTACCCTGGGGGAGTAGGGGGGAGACAAAGGCAGAGAAAAATACAAGTTATTTGTAAAGCAAAAGAGATATGGACGGTGGCAAATTTCATGTCAGAAACAATGTAAGGGAGAAGACAGTGGCACAGTATCTTAAAAAAAAAAAATTGTCGGGACCAGCAGTTGGCATAATGTCTATGTCGCTGGATTCCCATGTAGTTGACCGTGGTTCAAGTCCTGGATCAGTAGTTTTAACTCAAGCTGGATGCATGTGCGTGCATGCCCAAGATCCCAGGAGGAGAATGGAGGAGAAGGGATTGCAGTGTGGCCATCCCCAAGGAGTGATTTCTCGCTTTCTGTCTCTCTGTCTTTCTCTGTCTTTCTGGCGAGCATGTGAGCCCTATAGCAAAAACCTCTTTAAAAAAATTGTCATCCTAGAATTTTAGACCCAGTGAAGTATCTTTCAAAACCAATGACGAAATAAGGACTTTTTAGAAATACAAAAGCTGAGAGAACTTGCAGATTTATATTACGAGAAATGTTCTAAGAAATCTTAGGCAGAAGGCAAACAACGAAATGTGGAAATACAGACATACATGAAAGAGCAAAGAACTCTAAACATACTGATTACATGGCCTACAGATGAGAAGAACCGTCCCTTGAGGAATAATGCTTGAGGAGCCTCGCCCTTACCTACACCTGACGTATACAATAAGGCTCCAGATTTCCAGCTGTGCTGTAATGAGATCTGGGGGTGTCTGACAGAGAACAGGGGATTTTGCATAGAGGAGGGATGTGAATCATGTGGCAGGCAGCCTCTAAAATGGTCGCCATGATTGCTGCCTCCTGGTCTTCACACCTGTGTGCATTCCTGTCTGTGCCATACCAAGCTTGGTCTGGGTGACCAAGTGAATAAAGAAGTGGCGGAACATCGTGTCTGGTTCCAGGTTACAAAAGAGTACTGCTTCCATCGTGGGCTTTCTCTCCCAAGGATCACCTGCTATGGGGGAAACCAGCTGCCAGTTCCTGAGGATACTCAGCTGCCTCTGGTGAGAAACTGAAGCTCTGGCCAGCACTCAGCAAGGCACTGAGGCTGTAAATTAAACCCCTGATGACTGCAGCATTATGAAAAATCCTAAGCTAGAATCATCCAACTAAGCCAGCCATTCATGAGCTGGAGAAAACCATGAGAAAATAAGTATTTGTTGTTAAAACCAAACACAGTCACTCATTTTCGCACTATCGACAAACATTACAATAAACCAGAAGCCAGAAGTTATTTCCCCCCCAACTGAAAGAACAAAATAAATGATTCCTTACCTGTAATACTGTGAACACTGTGCTTACATGAATAGCAAAGTACAGCACACCAATCACAATGCACACCACTAGGTCAGACTGTAAACGCTCACTCTGTGAAACAAAAAAAGAACTACTGAACAAATACATACAATTTCTTAAAAAATATTTATAACCGGCAAAGTTTTAAAAATAATTTTGATATGATTTAGTAAGTCTAGCTATTTCTGACACCTAGTAATTAGTTATAATAAATCCTATTTTCTTCCTCAATTTCCTCATATTTTGGCTTAACACTGCAAGACCAAGGAATTTTAACAGGTTATCTAGTTCTACATGCTGTATTAAGACTTTTAAAATAAAGATTCTCCACTCACTCTATTGATCTTTTTACACAGGGGAAAAGAAAATAAGGTTCTTATGTTACCATATAATTTATAGAAATACATTCCTGTGGAAATAGAGTGTACCCCACTCCTTGGATAAATCTTTTTATTGATCTTTTGAAACATAAAACTGCATGCACATGTCCCATTTTCTTAATAGATTTTGGTTCTTTCAGTGGTTATAGTAAAAAGCAAAAATGTCTTGGTATCTTTGGTTGAGTAGATTTGTGCTTATAAACTAAAATCTGAGTATCCTATTATACTTAAGGTAAATTTTCTTTGTTATACAGAAATTAAAGAAAAAAATACCTGAATTATATCTTGGAGGCAGTTTTGTACTTCAAAGTGTTCTAAAGAATTACATGAACAATTAAAGTCCCTGAAAATAAATACCTAATTCAACACCTATATAAATTTAGCCTTTCACAAATGGATGTAATGTAAAATAAAACTGAAAAAGGAACATTTATGTTTTGCTCAGTGAAACAGCTATGAATCTATGTAACTCAATTTTTTCAAATAATTATTAAAACGATACAGGCAAAATATGATTCAGTAAATTAGACACTTTTAAAACTTACTGCATTTACTTCAACCTGGAAAATACACACTATTTGGACCACCCTTGGTAAAACATCCTAAGAGACTAGTAAATGACTAGAAAGGACATAGTTTTTATCAACAAGAACAATAACAACAAAATGAATTTAGAGTAGTATTAATTTTGTAGAACCTAGTCTAAACTACGTATTAGTTAAGTGCTGTGCATTAGGAGCTAGGTCCCACATGGCTGACTGCAATTCAAATCTCAGCAATAGCAGCTTGGAAAACGTAGGGGCAAGCAGGTGCCATGCTGGTTAAGGTATTGGACTCTCACATGGCCAACAGCGGTTAGAATCCCAGACCTGGTGGCTTGAGGATCACTCAGGGCATTTTGCATGTGCGCCCCAAATCCCAAGAGGAAAGCAGAAGAGACAGCAGTGTGACCATCCCGCCAGGAGATGATTTCTCACTTTTGCTCTCACTGTCTCTGTCTCTTTCCACTGACTACATGTGCCCTATGGCAAAAACCTTTAAAAAGAAAAGTAAAAAATAAATATCAGGTCTGGCATATGCGTTACATGTATACCAAAAATTCTGATGAGGAGGAGAAATGGAGAAAAAAGACTGTGGCATGGCCATGCCCTACTAGAAGATACTTTCTCCCTCTTTTCTTCTTTTCCTCTCTTGCAAGCACTCAAAAGCATGCCCTACTAGAAGATACTTTCTCCCTCTTCTTTTCCTCTCTTGCAAGCACTTAAGGAAGTGCTTTAATTCCCAATCCCTTTTGCAATTAAAAAAATAGTTATGACCAGGAAAAGTAGATGTTATAGTGCTTATGTCACTAGACTCCCATATAGTTGACTATGGTTTGAGTCCTGGACCTGACTGCTTAAAACTCACTCCAGGCGCATGTGCACATGTGCCCAAAATCCCAAGAGGAGAATGGAGAAAGGATTGCAATGTGATCGTTCCCCTGGGGGGTGACTTCTCACCTTCTGTCTTTTGGGTAAGTGCACACACTCAATAGCAAAAATCTCTCTAAAATAAAAAAGTCTATGACCAATGAGATTACTTAATTTCACCTGCCTTAAATATGAATGTTTAACATTATTTCACATGGAATGAGCAATTTTTATGTTAAAATTTGGAATAAAGACAGTCAACTTTGTATGACTAATCCTTTTTTTAAAAAATTTAAGTCTTTTGGGTGATTTTAAAAGTTAAAAACTTACGACAGAATTTCTAAGTTTTTCTGGCAGTGGGTCTTTGACTTCAGATAGAGGGTCTTCTGGATTTTTCTCTTCTGTTTTTGGAAATATCTTGGATTGCACCAAAGAGCTTTACAGTTTAAAAAATTAAAAGAAAGTAATTAATAGAAAATAATATATAACCTGAAAAACATTCATTTAAATGGAAAATAAAGTTTATGCCAGAAAGCCAAATGATCCAAGTACACTTAATCACTAGCAAATGATAAATTCTAAAAAGTTTAAGATAACATAAATAGCATACAATAAGAATATTTTTATTATAAGATAGTTTTAATACTTGGGAGAGAAAAAAATAACACACACTTTAAACTGACATGGTTAAAATGACCCAAAGTTAATAATATTTTAAAAGCTATTAGAAATTAGGCTGATAGCACTTTAAAAAGGTGCTGAGAAATGAGATCTTGGACAATCTATGAAAGAAACAGCAACTTACTTAAATGTCTTTAATTCAATAACAATTGATTACACTTACAAAAGTACAGATGGATCACTGCTTTGTCGGCTGAGATGATAGGACATTGCCACTAACAAACCACAAAAAATGGAGAAAAGCACTGGAATATGTTGGCCATCCCAAGAATCCTGTTGACCAAAAAAAAAAAAAATTAATGGCACAATATGCTTCTAATTTATAAACCATCCTGTAATTCTTTATTTTTTCAAATAATTATTTAATTTTATTTATCATTACTATTATTTGAAAAGTTGCTACAGAACACATGTACTCACCAGAGTGAGAGTGGGAGAGTAAGAAAGAGAGATGGAAAGTGAGAAAGCAAGCCACCAGGTCTGGGACTTGAACCACGGTTGGCCATGTGGGAGTACAATGCCTTAACCACCATGCCACCTGCTGGCCCTCATAGAGTTATTTTATATCAGTATTTTGGAGAAAGACAATGAACTTAAATTCAACAAAAAATGTAGATTTATTACTTTCTGATGAGTTGCTAGACTTCTTTTGGTAAAGAAAGTTTTCTTTAAAACTCCATTCATACTCCAGAAATAATCTGCTTCTGATGTATGATGCTATCAAATTTTTAAGCATTTAAGAGATACTAAGTTTACAGTAAACTACATGTTTTTTTGAATAATGAAATAACTTGGTATAGGATAATTTTTATTATATATAATAACTGAATAGGAAAAAGCAACACATGATACAACACATTAGAGCAAAAATATTTTTTTACGTTTATATGCTACTTTCTTGATGTCTTTGTTCATGTAATATATCGTTATATTTGTTTCTGAATGAATGAACTGCATATTCCCAAATAAAAATAACACAAAGGTACAAAGACTAGCTTCCAAGACCAACAAAACAGCCAAACACATGGGTGTGCCATGTTGGCCCTGCTCACTGTAGTATCTCTGCAGTTAATGAGCGTGGTATCTGGCACAGAATGGGTAATACTGTTAACAAAACAGTTAACAGTTCTGTGAGAGACACCATACTAATCCTTCTTCTTTCTTTGGGAATCTATGAAGGGAAAATGGTAGGAGTGGGGAGCCAAATGTAGTTTTTAAGGCAACTTGTCTTTTTCCTCCCACGTAAAAATAGCATTGGTAATTGTTCCAAATCACAACATAGATGTATTTTTTAATGCCTAAATCAAAACCTCATTATCATCATATTAAACACTATGTGTAGAGCTCTATTCTTAGATCTTTCTATTACCTAAATAATTTTTTTTGAGAGATTTTTTGCTATAGGGCATGTGTACTCACTGGAGGGAGGGAGGGAGGGAGGGGGAGAGAAGGAGAGAGAGAGAGAGACAGAAAATGAGAAAGCACATCCCCAGGGGGATGGCCACACTGCAATCCCTTTTCCTCCACTCTCCTCTTGGAATTTTGGGCATGCGTATGAGACCAATGTGAATTTCAAGTCACTGAGTCCAAGACTTGAACCGCAGTTGACTATGTGGGAGTCCAGTCCACTACACCACCTACTGGTCCCATTACCTAAATAATTTTTACAATAATCTTTGGAAGTATGTACTATTACTTCCCAATTTATAAATGACAAAATTAAGGCAGAGAAGGTTTAAGTTATTTGTCCAGTTCAGTGGTAAAGTTAAGTGGTAAAAACTAAATCTGACTTCTGGTATATCCGAGTATAGTATGAGGAGAGCTAAAACAACATGTGAAGAGTTTAAGAAAGAAAGAGAGACAAATACAAAAGAAAGCAAAGTTAAAGAAGAAAACGAAGTTGACCCTTGAACAATGTGAGAATTGGGGTGCCAACCCCCAGTACCTGAAAATCTGCATAAAACTAAACTACTAATAGCTTATTGTTGACCAAAATATTTCTAACACAATTAACACATATTTGTATATTATGTCTTATATACTATATTTTTACAATAAAGTAAACTAGAGAAAATGTTAAGAAAATTATACATGGATAGAACTGTATTTATTCTGTAATATATTTATATTTTAGAAAAATCCACATATTAGTGGACCCGCAGAATTCAAACCCATGTTGTTTAAAGGTCAAACCTGATGTTTACTAAGGAAGACAAAAGGAGGCTGTGTGTGTGTGTGCGCGTGTGCATTTATGTGGTGGATGTCCGGGGGGAGGGGGGTAAAAGAAACATAACCCTACAATATTCATAAAGAGCTGTTCATAAATAAAACTTAAAATTTATAAAAATGTAGAAAGTAGAAAAAGTAGTTAGAGGTAAATACTGAAAGAATCAGCTCAAAAAACTGAAAGAAATAAGTCTGAGGAAGAAAAATAAAAGACTAAGAAGTTGCTATTCTGGGTAATGTTTTTAAGAACTCTTTGACTCTAGAATATAGGCATGTATAACTTTCACAAAAGTTAAAACTAAAAAATGATATTTAATATAACTACTCTGTAAAACTGATCAATCCATTTCTGGACACTTAGCTAAGGGAAATGAAAATATAAGACCACGCAAAACTTTGCCTGTTTCCCAGCAGCCTTGTTTACAACATCCCTACGGCAGGGACAACTCAGATGCTATCTAAGAAAGTGGATGAGTTGTGATAAATTCACGGAATAGGGGTAAAGTGGGACTAAAACCAAACGGACTACTCCATAGTAAAAAGGAATGACTAAAATGCACAGTGTGTATTATTGGCAAAGTCGGTCGGACAGACGCGGAAGACTAACTACCTAAGGTATCAATCATTTCAAGTACATGAAGTTCAGAGACCTGCATAAGGACAGTGGAGGAGGGGGAATAAGGAATTTCAAGTACATGAAGTTCAGAGACCTGCAGACTAATCTACAGTGAAAGAAAGGACAGTGGAGGAGGGGAAATAAGGAATAGACATATGAGGGGATTTTCTGGTGAGACACAAGTATCTGTATCTTGATGGGATGTAGATCACGCAGGCGTATCCATTTGCCAAAACTTACCAAATTGTGTACTTGAGATATATGAATTTCTCTATATGTAAATTTTGCTTTAGTTACAACCAAACAAAACAAGTATTTAGGGGAAAAATACTCAGACAAAAGAAGAACACTCCTAAGTTATCTCAAAGTGACTTGTTTATTTTATTGATAGTAAACAGTTACTGCACATTCAAAAAAATTACAGAACACCTCCTGTCATCCGTGCCCCTTCCCACTCCAATTGCTACAATAAAATCCTAACGCCCAAAGCAATGGTATTAGGAAGTGGCACGCTGGAAGGTAATAGGTCATGAGGGGAGAGCCCTCATGAACTGTTTTAGTTCCCTTAAAAAGGAATTGCAGAGAGCTCTCTGGGGCGCTTTCCAAGAAGTTGGCTGACTGCAACACAGAAGAGAGCCTTCGCCAGAATCTAATCATGCTGACACCCAGATCCTAAGACTTCTAACCTCGGAAACTGAGAGAGACGAGTTTCTGCTGTTTATAAGCCACCCAGTCAGACTTGGTTACAGTAGGCCAAACTAAGATACCTCCTCTTAACTTACAAATTATCGATATATATTTAAAAAGTGACAGTAACTACTATCTCTGTTGAATCTTTAATGGAACAAACAAAACCCAGTTACCGCTGAGTTTTTAATAAACTCTGGTTTGGAAGTGGGAGAAAGGACAGGAGAAGGCTCTGAAAAATAAATCCATTTAAAGAGGCTGACCTAGGTCAATAGACAGAAATGTCAGTTTAGTTTACCCACTGTAGTAGGCCTTGATTTCTTCCAAGGTCTAAATGTTTCTGCTTTATTACATAATAGCCAAATTCTAGCAACCTCTAAAAAATATATAAACAGCTGGAAAGTTTATACATATTAATAGGAGGTACTATGTGGTCTCAAGGAAAAATGTTTAGCTTTTAATGACCTAAACATCCTGCTAAAAAGCTTGGGAAGAAATGAGAATAAACACAAAGTCAAGATCAGGAAAATACAGACATAAAAGATTGTACCACTAAAAAGAAGAAAAGAAAAAATTAACTATTTCTCAAATTATACAGTAAAGTCTCTCATTGACTCTAACTGCCCAGATGTACCATAGTTTTCAATTTATTATGTATTTACACAGACTTTTTTTTAAAAGAGGTTTTTGCCTTAGGACACGAGAGAGAGAGAGAGAGTGAAAGGGAAAGTGAGAAATCACACTCCCCAGAGAGTGGGGGGCAGGGATGGCCACATCACAATCTCTTCTCCTCTATTCTCCTACCAGAATCTTGAGCATGCATGCACGAGCACCCAATGTGATTTTAAAGCCACCAGGTCTGGAACTCGAATCATGGTAAGCCAAGTGGGAGTCCCACAATGTAACTGCTATACCATCTGCTGGTCCCAGACTATGTATTTTATTGAATGATTGATTAATTTGAGAGAGATTTTTTTTGCTCCAAGGTGCATGCATTTGCCAGAGAGACAAAGAGACAGAAAGTGAGAAATCATCCCGCAGGGGGAGATTGGCCCATGCCACAATCCTTTCTCCTCCATTCTCTTCTAGGGATTTTGGTCATGCAAACGTGCCTGTGTGAGTTCCAAGCCACTGGATCCAGGACTTGAACCACAGTCGACCACGTGGGAGTCCAGCATATAATCATTACATCATGTGCTGGCTCCCAGACTATGTATTTTTAAAGCCTGTGTGTGTGCTTTTTAAAAACGCACAAAGGGACCAACAGATGACATAATGGTTATGTCACTGGACTCCTCTGTAGTTGACTGTAATTTGAGTCCCGGACCCAGTGGCTTAAAACTCATGCCACCGGGCACCTGTGCATACATGCCGAAAATCCCAAGAGAATAATGGAGGAGAAGGGATTGCAGCGTGGCCATCGCCCCTGGGGGGGGGGATCTCCCACTTTCTCTTTCTGATGAGAGCACATAGCCTAGAGCAAAAAAACTCTCTTAAAACACAAAACGAAATGTTCAAAGCAGGACAGGCCCCATAGTGCAGTAGTCAGGGGAGCTGGATCCCACATGGCCAACTGCAGTTTGAATCCCAGCCCTGTGGCTTGAAAAACACACAGGGCATATGTGTGTGGCTGCCTAAACAACCCTGTGGCTTGAAAAACACACAGGGCATATGGCTGCCTAAACTCCTGACAGGATGGAGAAAAGAAGGAAAAAGGATTGCAGTGTGACCACACCCCATTAGGGAACAGGTAGGTGCTTTCTCTCTCCTCTCTAGCAAGCACATGTGCTCTCTAGAAAAGACATATATTGCATTTGCTGCATGACTACACCACGATTAACTGACCCAGTCACAAGTGACAGATACTAGCTCATTTTCAGCTATTTGCTGTTACAAAAGTGCTGTAGTGAAATCATCATACACAACCTATTCTTATGTATACTAATAAATCTATAATCTTATTACACTACCATGGGTGGTATTTAAAATTAAAATTGTCTAATATAAGTGTCATGCCCAGAAAGTAGAAAGAAAACCTTACCTTCCTGCCAGCCTTTGGATACACTGCATAGCTAGCAGCTTTACAATTGCTGCTGCTCTGCGATAATATGCCACTGCAGTTGAAGAGGTGTGTATAAACTAGGCCAGAAAACTTCATGTACTTATTAACCCCTATGATTACAACTTGCAAATAATGATTTACTTTCCATACATGACTCAAAACAGAAATCCAATACCTGGAACTAGACTGGCTTAAGGTGGCACACATGGGCAAAGCATGGACTTGTATCTTATAGCCCCCAGTAATTTCCTTATTAGTTCTATTGATTATTTCCCCTCAACTAGATCCCCCCCACCTTTCAAATGCAATCAAGTCTCAGATCTTATTAACAAAAAAAATAAATAAATAAAAATAAACAATAAACACCAAAAACAACTTCATCAGGTATACAAGCTTCCCAACTATTTGCTGAAAGGATACATTTCCTTAATATCTATCAAAACTTAAACTTATATTGATCTGGCTTCCTTAAACAAACACCAACAAACTGCTTTTATTAAATCATCAATATCTAATTAGCTGCCAAATGCTATGAAACCTTTTTCAGGTTCTACTGCCTCTGAAGTTTTCTATGTGGAAAACTGTTCTAACACCTAAATATAGAAATTTTCCAGGATTCTTTCCTTACCTATTTTCTCTTGTCAATGCACATTAGCAGCTTTTTCTTACATCTCATTTAATATTGTTGATAACTTCTGAATCTATTAACCACTACCTTAAACATTCCTACATAACTATATATTTGTATTCTCAGGATGCCCCATAAATATTGAGTTGTCAACTATTTGCTCTCTGTTAAGAAAAAAATTAGGAGAACTGACTTTCCCAACAACCTAATTTTAACAAATAAAGTATTCGAATGTAAATAATCCCTTCCCTCACCCAACTCCAAGGTTTCCAATCTTGTACATTAGTGTCATCATCTTACCGGTTCCTCAAGCCAGACTGTACTCAGAAATCATCCCAAACTCTACTCTGGCTCTTTCCTCTTTACCCATGTAGTCCACAAATATTCATGAAATCCAACATAAAAAAACTTGGTCATAATTTCAAGATGATCAAGATGATCCCTCCTGCTTACACTCCATTCTCGTTCACACTGGACACAAGTACTCATTCGATAATACAACTCATCATTTCCTTGTCTTACCTCAAATGCACTGATGGTTTCCCAATCTCACCTCAGTAAATTTAATTATTTCATAATCTAGCCCTTGCTTACCTTTCCAGCCCTGCTGAAAGCCATCTTTCCTGATATACCCAAGCCTCCCGTAATTCCAAATTATCTGCAGTTTCCTCCATACAACTTCACAGCTTTCGTCCTTGTTTCAACTAACTAATACTTATTTATCCATAAAATTTGGTTAAAATTACCTCCTTAAAAGAACTGTCTTTAACCCCTTTGGGTACTGCAAAGGTGATCTTAATTTGTATACCCGTAACACTGTTTTCATAGCTTCTGTTACCTTGAATTGAACATGCTGGTTGACTTTATCACAGCTACCTATAAGCTACGTAAAAGCAGAAAATGGCTTTTAACAATATTTGGCATATAATAAATGCCCCCATAAAGGCTCCTGCATAAATGAGGCAAGGAAAGATACTAAGAATCACTTTTCACAGTTCTTTCAACCCTACCATTCTGACTGCTTTGTATTAATCATTTAAAAAAAGAAAAAAAAATAAGTATGTATGACTGTGTCTATTAAAAACTTTAAATTTTTCTGTTTACAACTAGATGACAACCATTTAAAATGTAACCTAATATGGGCCAGCAGGTGGCATGGTGGTTAAAGGTGCTGGATTCCTACATGGCCAACCACTGTTCAAGTCCTGGACCCAGTGCCTTGCTTTCTCGCTTTCCTTCTTTCTCTCTTTCTGTCTGATAAAATCTAAAAAAAAAATAATATCAAATGGAATTAAATAAATAAACAATTCCTTAAAAAATCTAACCTAATAATGACATTTAATTTTAGTGTATTAATTTTTACTAGCATTTATCTTAGATTACAGCCTTTGAACTTGTTCTTGTAAACTTAAAGAAATCTTGATATAAAAAGAAGTTATATAAACTCTTAACTAGAAATCTAAAGTCGATTTCATATTCTGGGCTTATCAAGTATGCCCCTATTCCAGACAAGCCCAGTTTTGATATTCCATTTCTAATATCAAATTTTTAAAAATGAATTATTTATTTAATTTTATTTATTCATTCATTTATTTTTTAAGTTGACCAGAGAGAGAGTCAGAAAGTAAGTCGCCAGGTCTGGAACTCGAACCGTGGTCAGTCATGTGGGAGTATCCAGCGCCTTAACCACCACGCCACCTGCTAGTCCCGATAACGGTTAACTTTAAAATACAAATGAGAATGAGAATAATGTTCAGCATATGAAGATAGTGAAAATTAATGCTAAAGTGACACCAAGGAGAAAATATCATTATTACTCTATTTAAAACAATTTTCGTATAGAAATTTAGCCTTAAAGAGAAAGCATACTATAATTTATTGCTCACCTTTAAAGCTCCATAACATAATCCATACAATAAGGCAACTGCCACGATGCTACAGATAAAACTGTAAAGTGCAGCAAGCAGGCTTGTAGTGGCTACACAGTAAAGGAAAAAGAAATTCTTATTTACAGACATCTATGAAAAAAATTTGAAGTCACAGAAAACCATTTAAAATATTATTGACTACAATCAAACATCTACTCATTTGATTTTGTAAAATTCAGTTACTTTTTCATGTACTTTAAATGACTGTGACGTGGAGCCAGCAAGTGGAGTGGTGGTTAAAACACTGGACTCCAATGTGGCTGACACAGTTTGAGCTCTGATCTGGGTAGTTTGAAAAATCATGCTGGGCATGTTTGCATGAATGCCCAAAATCCCGGAAAAATGGAGAAGGGATTATAGCATGGCTATTCCCCGTCAGGGGTGACTTCTCACTTTCCTTCTTATTGTCTCTTTCTCTGTCTCTTTCCCACTAGCACAAGTGCTGAAAGGCAAAAAAAAAAAAAAAAAAAAAAAAAAAAAAAAAAAAAAAAAAAAAAACAAAGAAAGAAAGAAAGAAAGAAAGGATTTTTACATGAAAAAGACTTGAGATCATGGAAACCAGCAGTTAGCGTAATGGTTATGTCAATGGACTCCCACATAGTCGACTGCAGTTCGCATCCCAGACCCAGTGGCTTAAAACTCACACCGGGCACGTGTGCATGCGTGCCCAAGATCCCAAGAGGAGAATGGAGGAGAAGGGATTGCGGCATGGCCATCCCCCCTGGGGGGTGATTTCTCACTTTTTGTCTCTCTGTCTCTCTCTGTCTGTCTGGCGAGCGCACGTGCCCTATAGCAAAAATCTCTCAAAAAAAAAGACTTGAGATCCTCAGTCTTTGATACGAGATAAAATACATTCATCTTAGAAGTAATGAACATTTTACACAGCAGAAACATATTATACCTATATTATGCTTCAAGAATGTATCTTATGTTAACAGAATGCATGAAAAAATGAAGTTTCAGAAGTCTGAATAGAAACTGGATATATATTAAGTACTCACTGAAAAGTAATAGTCTACCTAAAAAATGTTAGACTATTCACCAACAGAAGAAAATTTGTACTCTCATGTGTTAATTTGTAGGAAAAAAGCATATAAGTAACTATCGATAACAAGAAATGGACCCAAAAGTAATAGAAGATGGTTAAGATAGCTAGATTCTATTTTTTAAAACAAATATTTATTTATTTAAATCCATTTATTATTATTGTTGTTATTTTTTTAATATGACCAGAGAGAGAGAGAGAAAGGGAAAGCAAGAAAGCAAGCCACCAGGTCCGGGACCTGAACTATAGTTGGCCATGTGAGCATCCAGCGCCTTTAACTACCACACCACCTGCCGGATCCAAGATAGCTAGATTCCATTAGGTTTTTTGGTTTTTGGGTTTTTTTTTTTTTTGAGAGTTTTTGCTATAGGGCGTGTGCGCTCGCCAGACAGACAGAGACACAGAAAGCGAGACATCACCCCCCAGGGGGGATGGCCATGCCACAATCCCTTCTCCTCCATTCTCCTCTCGGGATCTTGGGCATGCACGCACACACGCCCGGCGTGAGTTCAAGTCACCGGGTCCGGGACTTGAACCGTGGTCGACTACGTGGGAGTCTAGCGACATAGCCATTACACTAACTGCTGGTCCTTGTTTTAAAAGAATTATTTAATTTAATTAATTTATTTATTTAAATTTGATCAGAGAAGGACAGAGAGAGACAAAAAATGAGAAAGCAAGTCACCAGGTCCAGGACTTGAACCATAGTTGGTTATGTGAAAGTCCAGCGCCCTTAACCACCATGCCACCTGCCAGCCCTGCTAGACTCTATTTTTAAAATAGAGAGGATAGATTTTCTTTAATGGAAATTGTATATGGTGATCTTAAAAGAAATCTACAGGAAATAAATTTATTTATGAGATATTAAAAACCTAACACCTTGTACAAGTATGTAAATTATATGACAAAGTCCACTATTATAAATAATATGAACTAAGCCTTTCCCATAATATTTAGATGAATATAATACTAATAAGAGTCCCTAAACAGTAAAAATATCTTCCCCTACTAGACTCTGCTGATTGAATAAACCAGCTGTCTTAATTCACACCTCTTCCAAACACTTTCAAACATTAAAAACATTCTAATATGATACATAACAACATAGAAGCTTAGTTTCTACTTAAAATTTAATCCATAACAACATTTTATAAGCATACATGATTTCACTGCATATACTTGGAAGATAAATGAAGACTGGAAATATAAAGTATAAAGAGAAATAGTCTCTACAATTATAGTAATTTCTTTCCCATTTATGTATTTTCTCTAGTTGCACATCCACCTTTTGGTAAAATTTTGAATAAACAAATGGTATATTTTAAGTACTGGTGGCTGTTGATGTGTTTCTTTTTAAGTTCTACAAATCATTATCGATTCCAGAGTAATTGGTAAGGTCTTACTTAATTTTTAAATGAAATACACATGACATGTGAACAGATTTTCTAAATGTATCAAATCTTATCCATATATTGTACTCTAAAAACAGAGATATTTCTTTAAAAAGTATTTAGTAAAATGCTTTTTAGATTCTGATTTGGGTATTCCTACCCTAAAAATAAACTAAATCTCTGAAACCAAATAAATAGATGTACCAGTTCAAAATGCTACGTATCCAGATCTCAAGCTATTGGGGACAGATGATCTATGGTGATCTATATAGGTGGTCTATGTATATACAAGTCCATATAAACTCACTATAACATTTAGTTTCAAGCTTCTTTTACCACTTCTTATATGTCATCTCCATTATTCCTGGATCTTTCACTAAGATAGTAGACTATTTTTTCTTATTTACAAATGAATTGCTTCTCAATCTGCAATTACTAAAATACGTTTCTATTATCATTTACATATAAACTTAAAAACATTTTAGTGTTCACCTTATTATTTTATGATCTGTAAAAATAATACTGTAATCAGTCATTTTTATACTCACCATTACCACCAAAGATATGAATATCCAATTGTTCACAAAGGTACATTACAAATGTATTCACCTGAGGCAGGAGACCAATGAAAAATACTATTGGGAAACAGAGTGTAAACACTATAGAAGAAAAGAAAAGTAAATTTAAAATATTACATATATCCAACCTTCCATTCATTTGAAGATCATAAATGATGAAAAGGAATCCAGAATTAACATTAACTATTGGGTTGACGGAAAAGTCATGACATTTATTTCTATGTTTTTCTATGCAAAATGCATCAGGACTTTTCCAACAACTCAATACTAAGCAAATTTTAGAAGATATCATTTAGAATTATTTATCTCTATGCAAATATTTGAGTATTAAGTTAAATCTTTCAACTATAAACAATACCTTTTAAAATTATTTCAACCATGTTCATACTATAGGAAACCTAAGACAGGCTCCAAAAAGAAAACAGAAAACAGAAAAACCTTTTGATTCCCTCTGCTTCAGCAGCTGAATTACTACATCTGTTCATGATTAGCTTTCTTCATTCATAAGAGCCCTATAATTTTGTTCCTCAGAGCAGATTACAATAAACAAGATAAGCTTATTAAAACTGTTTTACCTATATAATTGATATATTTCTCAGTATAATATTTATATATAGATAAACTAATGTTAAACATACTTTAAACATGACTCACCTATAACTAAATCCCTGGCTGATATAAACACCAGAGGATTGGTGAAAGTAATCCCATATAATTTGAACTTGGTTGTAGTAAGGTTTCTGCTACCGTAATCCAACAGCCAAATAAGACCACAACATAAACAGAAATAAACTGGTCTACTGTAGGCAATGATACGATTATGACCCTGAAAATGAAATTAAAAGAAAAAAGGTCAGTTCAGTTCATTTTAAGAGTCACAACTAGCTACTGAGATCACTGTCTTATACAAGGGAACTTCAAAAATTTGTGAGGGCTGGCCTCACAATCTAGTGGTTAAGGGAACCAGATCCCACATGGTTGACCATATAGCCTGGCTGCCTGAGAAACACACCGGACATATACACATGCATACCCCAAATCCCAGTAGGATGGAGAAATGGAGGAGAAGGGATTGCAATATGACCATGCCCCACTGAGGGGGGTTTCTTCCTTTCCTCCTCTCCCTCTGGTAAGTGCTCATGTTCTCTGGCAATTTTGAAAAAAGGAAAACACACACACGCAAATCAAAATTTCATGAAAAAAATGGAATTAAAATATGAATTTATTCTGCTACAAAAAAATTAAAATATATGCATAGTTTTTTCGTATATTTCCATTACTATTAACTATTCCAGTATATGGATAAAGATAGTTATATTTAAGAAAGCAAGCAGCACCATAAACTATTTTTGGAATCTATCTGTCAATTATTTTTTTTTAAGAGGTTTCTGCCATAGGGCAAGTACACTCACCGGAGAGAGAGACACACACACACAGTGAGAGGGAAAGTGAGAAATCATCCCACACGGGGATGGCCATGCCGCTATCCCCTCTCTATTTTCCTTCTGGGATTTTGGACACGCATACACATGTGCCCAGCATTAGTTTCAAGCCAACAGGTCTGGGACTTGAACTGTAGACAGCCATGTGGAAGTCCAGTGATGTAACCACTATGCCATCTGCTGGCCCCATATTTGTGAACTACTTTAAAGAGAATGTCCTGTGGGCTTTCAAGTCCATAAATACTTAAGTTAGATATAAAATAAAATAATATTTCATAAATACATAGTGCTAAGTAGATACTTTTGTTTAAAGTCATGAAGTGAATAACAAGGTTTTTCATCTCATTACTTGTTCAAAGGTCTAATATATTAAGTTCTTTATTCTTGCTCCTAATGATTATTGAAGCAAAATAGTTTCTCCCACTTCAAAATTCTATTTTTTAATACTTATTTACAATTATTCCAAGTTTAATAAATGCAAATAATCAACTGAAGCAGAAGTACCTCCCTCTTTGAACTTTATATTTGCTTCCTCCTTTTGCCCAGAGTAGAGTGATTAATAGACTTACTGTCTTTGCTAACTAGCCCAAAACCTTTTTGTTTAGATGTTCCTTAGCAATGTAATCACCAATCACCAGACTCCTGCACAGAGCCATGTGAACCATTAAATAAAGGTCTACAGAGTGCCCTTAGAAATTATTAACCTGCTTAATTAGGCTTCTGTAACTGCTTTCGCATAGGAACCCAACTCCCTTTCCTCTCCATTCCTCATTTTCCATTGTAATCACCATGTCAACCCAGAAATGATTGATTTTTGCCTTTATAAGAATAAAGACACTCCTCCTTTACTGGGAGATATAGGGTCTTTGAGATGTGAGTCCTATTGCAGTCACGGCTAAATCAATTAAATTCTAATAATTTGGCTGTTTGGATGTCCTATTTCCAGCTAATTTGACTACAACACAGCCATGAGTTTAATGAACCATGTCTACCTAATTGATAACATCCTCCTGTAAAAGGCTGTCAGAAATGAATTACTACGCTCATTTTGAACCAAGATAGATTCTTCCAGAACAATGTCATTTACATAAATCACTTACATTTCTAGTAGTGTGTCAAAACTTAGACAAGAGAATAGCAACATAAATCTTAATTCAACTGGATGCTTGCCCCAAAATAGGCTTTGATAAATGTTAAGGAACTAAGAGTTACAGCCATATTAGAGTGACTTACATGTCTGGGAGAAGAAGAATCTGGCTGGACACTCTAAAAATCAAACAGACAGACAGATTATTACAATATGGAAGTCCGGACAGTTTTACAAGGAACTTTCAAACTGCTTGAGAAATTGATTTCAAGTAAATACTTCACAATCAAGAAATGACCTATATTAATTCTGTCCCAAAGATGAGACATCAGCTCCAGATACTGGTGTCACTGTGATATTAAAAACATCTCAGATCTTCCCTAATTCTTGTTTTTCTTTGGTTAATTAGTAATTGGCATCTAAATTAATAGCTCTGAAATGGAATACTGCAGATATATCTATCTCACTGTTCTGCTCATTACTACTCATTAAACTAAAGGTAGAATTCTTTCTCATGGAGCCATCATTCAGTAAATGCACAATAGTGTAAGTTAGTTTATAAGAAAAGCCTAGGTCTGCCCACAAATTCCAGGCTTACTAAAGAATTCAATGGAATTCATATTAAATATATTATGTGTATTTTCACATAAAAATAATCCAGTTAAGTTGTATCCTCGTATGAAATTACCTTCCTAAGGTGTACCAAACGATTTCAGTAGGATGGCCTATTACCAACCTACAATCATACACTGGACCAAGCTCACTGAATCTGACATTTGATCATTGGCTGGATATGAACCTAAGTAATCTTTAATCTCTGTCAGCTTCAACACCCATCCTTCTGTTCCTGTCTTCTCATTTCTGACGTTTTTATTCTTCTAGTCGTCTACAGTAGTTTTGAAAATATCAGTCACTTTTTACCTGTTCCACGTATAACCATATTAACCTGAAAGTAGAGGACAAAACTAAGGGACGAGGGAAACCAGAATACAAGAAATGCACTTAAAGAATTTTAGGCAATAAAGGGATAGAAGAAGTGATTGAAATAAAAGTCAAATCAAATCAGTAATTTTAATATAAAAATCACCAAATTTAATCAAAGGGATTTGGTTACTTGTTTTGGGGGATCAGGGAGGAAGGAACAGAGACTAAGATTTTGAACTGATATCCCCCAATCAAAAGCAACAAAATTGGGAAAAGACAATATTAATCATTAGATGACAATGTGCTTTTTAAAAATGTGTCCAAATGTCTATTAGATATGTATGACTAAAGCTTACAAAAGAGTTGAGGATTTTGAGCTATAAATCTGGACATAATTTGTATATAAAGACAATAAAATAATGTAAGACGACTACACCGGCAAGGAATTGTAAACTGAGGAGACAAATCGAATGGTAGAGAACTCTCACAAGTTAAGTGTTTGAAAGAACAAAGAGACATCAACAAAGAAACAGTGTCTCATCTGAAAAGTGTGAGAATTTTCAGGGTAAAGTCACAGATCAATAATGAAGACAATATAATGTGGAAGATAGTATATCAAGTATTCAATGATACAGCACTCATATTAAATGGAAACTAAAAAAAAGGTCATAGACTTAGCAATTAGACTGATTATTAGCAACTATAAAGACTGTAATTTCAGTAATTCAGTGAGGAATTGAAGTACAGATCAATATTAAAGAAATAGAGCAGAATACTCTAGGTGGCTTACTCCAGATGGATATCTATAAATGAAGAGAGAAAAAAAAAGAAAGGACAGCTTATGACATACACACTAAACAAAGTTTTCAGAATGGGGGAGGACTCTACAAGTTAGTATGTATACAGCAAATAACCAGTACAGGGCAATGGACCACGTCTACCTAATTGATAACTTCAATTAGGGTACTAAGAAAGAAAGGGTCCACATGACAGTCCCCACTGATTTTAAGTGAAAGGTAAACATGTGAATTGCACATGAGTTGAGGTATTTAATTTTACCACTTTTCTTTTTAGAGGTTTTTGCCTTAGAGTATGTACATTTGCCTGAAAGAGATAGAGATAGGGAGAGGGAATATGAGAAATCACCCCCTATGGGGGATGGCTATGCTGCAGTCCCTGCCCCTCCATTCTCCTTCTGGGATCTTGGGCATGTATGTACATGCGCCCAGCATGATTTTCAAGTCACTGTGTCTGGGACTTGAACCGCAGTTGGGCATGTGGGAGTCTAGCGACATAAGCACTATGCTATCTGCTGGTCCCAACATATACTTTCCTTTAATACAAAGAAATCACTTTAAGAAAGCTCCCCTTATATATAATGATTTTTAAAGTTTATATCCTCTTTTTGTCTCCTATACAATCTAATGTAAATATCCAAGGAAAATAAATCTAAAAATCATTGCCTTATAATTTTGTGAATTGTAGGAGACCTTCTGCCCTTCAACACAAACATTATTCCACAGCATAAAAAGAAAAGATTTTGGTACCTTAAGTAATGAGTATTGACAGCTGGCTATGACCAAGCAGAACTGAAAGACCCAGATATCTCTGAAGAAACCTTGTATCAGAAGAATAGATCCCAAAAAAGCCACGAGAATAGCCAGGATGACAGCTAACACATTTTCCAGGATCTCACGATTTCTGAAGAAACAAAAATGTATGAGTAAGTATATTATGAATGTAAGAAATTAACCTGCTTTCTGATATGTCTTTTCAGTACTGGGTTTGAAGGTTTGGGATCAAACTGAAAATGAAACTAGTTTCATTTGGACACAACACAAATTCCTATAATACAAATGAAGCATATTACAGTGGACTGTGAAGTTGCAATTACAATACGTAATGGAATTCCCATATTTATAAAAAATTTTCCTTAGTATCTGCTCTTTTATCTGTCAAATTTGTTGCAAAACAGCTGACCAACTTAGATGGGAAAGTAGACAAAGAAAAAGGTTAAGCTTAAACAAACAAAATCTCAAACAGTTTCTAGAAAGTTAAAATTTTTTTTGGAGAGGTTTTTGCTATAGGGTATGTGCACTCCCCAGACAAAAGAGAGAGACAGAAAGACAGAAAGTGAGAAATCACGTCCCAGGGGGGATGGCCATGCCGCAATCTCTTCTCCATTCTCCTCTTGGGATCTTGGGCACACATGCACACGCGACCAGAGTGAATTTTAAGCCACCAGGTCCAGGACTTGAACCGTGGTCGACTACATGGGTGTCCAGCGACATAGCATTACGCTAACTGCTGGTCCCAAGTTAATTTTTTTTTAAAGGTTAACCTCTTTTTAAAAATTATTTACTTAATTTTATTTATTTATTGTTGTTGTTATTATTATTATTTTTACCAGAGAAAGACTAGAGAGACAGATAAACTGAGAAAGTAAGCCACCAGGTCCAGGATTTGAACCACCAGGTCCAGTCATGTGGGAGTACAGCGTCTGAACCACTACACCACCTGCCAGGCCCATAGAAAGTTAAACTTAAAACATTTGTTACTGGGTCAGCGCGTAGTGAGATGAGTAAAGTGGCTGCATCCCACAAGGCTGACTGTACAGTCTGGGTCCTGGACCTGGCAGCCCGAGAAGCACTTTTTTGTTATTAATATATAATTTCATTCCTCTGTAGTCAAAGAACATCGCACATATGATTTGAATCCTTTTTAAATTTATCAACCGTTTTATCATGGCCCACAATATGGTCCATCTTGGTAAATGCTCTGTGTCACTTAGAAGTTTGTGTATTCTCTTGCTTTTAGTGGAGTTTTCCGGAACACCAGTCAGCTCAGGTTAACAATATTGTTCAAGCCTACTACATCCTCACTGATTTTGTACACACACGTTCTATTCATTATTTATAGAGGAGTGTTGAAATAAACTATAATTGTGTTTTTGTGTATTTCTATCGGCTTTAGTTCAGGTATTTTGAAGTTCTATTTCAGGTACAAAAACATTTAGGATGATTAAGTCTTATGGATTAATTGACTTTATCACTATGAAATAACCTCTATTCTTGGTAATAATCTTTGCTCTGAAATCTAGCAAAGGCTATATTTCACTCTAGCACTCCTCTAGTTAGTATTAGCATGGTGTATCTTTTTGCATCTTTTTCTTTTTACCCTATATTTGTTTTTATACTTAAAATACATTCCCTGTAGGACGCATAAAACCAAGTCTTTCTTCTGTTATCTAACCTTAACAATTTCTGACTCTATCATCTTGTCATTTATTTTCTATTTGTCCCATCCATTCTTTGATCTCTTTTTTGGTCTTCTTTTAGATTGATAAATTTTATGAATCTATTTGATCTTTTTTTGACATATCAGCTATAACTCTCTTATGTTATTTTAATGGTTGTTTCATAGTTTATAAATGTAAACTATGACAGTCTATCTTAACTGATGATATATCATTTCGCATATAGCATAAGAAAACTTACAAGGGCCAGCAGGTGGCATAGTGGTTAGGGCATTGAACACACTGTGGTGTAAGTCCCAGACCTGGCAGCCTGAAAAATCACACCAGGCACATGTTTGTGATGCCCAAAATCTCAGAGTAGAAAGGAGAAGAAAGGATTACAGCATGTTCCCGGCCCCACTCCACCCCCACGGGTGATTTCTCACTTTCCTTCTTACTGTCTCTCTCTGGCAAGTGCATGTGCCTTACGGCAAAACAGAAAGAAAGAATACAATTGTACATATTATTTCTCCCTTTCCAGCCTTTATGCTATTATCATTAAGTCTAGCTTTTACATATGTTATTAACCACATAGTTCATTGTTGTTATTTTTCTTGACAGAGGCAATAATCTTTTGTAGAAATTTAGTAAGAAAAAATCTTTTACACTTATGCACATATCTACTTACCATTTTTGTAATCTTTGTTCCTTTGGGTAGGTCCCTATGTCAGATGTTTTCTTTCTCTTTTTCAGGCAGAAGGAAAACACATCAAGTGTGTTTTCAACATTTTTTGTGGTCTAAGTATGCCAAGGAAGAATTATTCCTATTATTCCTAGCTTAAAAATGTCTTTATTGAGACCAGCACATGGCTTACTGGTTATGTCGCTGGACTTCCACGTAGTCAACCACAGTTCCAGTCCTGGATCCAGCAGCTTAAAACTCATGCTGGGTGCATGTGTGTGCATGCCCAGAATCCAGAGAGGAAAATGGAGAAAGGGTTGTGGCATGGCCATCCCCCAGGGGCGTGATTTCTCACTTTCTGTCTCTCTGCACACACCCTATAGCAAAAACAACTCTTAAAAAAAAAAAAAAAAAAAAAAAGTCTTTATTTTACCTTGACTTTGAACCATTTTTGCCAGGTATAGAATTCTAGGCACAGTTCTTTTCTTTTTATACTTTAAAGATGTTGTTCTGCTGTCTTCTCGCTCACATTATTTCTAATCCTAAACTGATGTCTTCCTTTTGTTTCTCTGTACAAAGCATAACTTTTTCTTTTTCCATTTTTAATATTTTATCACTTGTTTTGAGCAATTACTTGCCTTGGTACATTTTTCTTCATGTTTCTTGTATTTTGGGGTTCACTGAGCTTGTTAAATGTATGTTTAGAGTTTTCATTAAATTTATAAAGTTTTCCACCATAATTTCACCAAGATTTTTTTGTGTTTGTTTCCTCTTGAAGTTGTTCACAGTTTATTTTCATGCTGTTTCTATGCTCTTTTCATGGGTGGAGATGGGAGTTAGAAGATGATACTCTTTTCTTCCCATTTAATTCAAGCCATTTCTATTGCTAAGCTTTTAACTTCACTCATCTTTCTCCAATGTGTGATCTAACATGAATCCCATCAAGTATGTTTTTCATCTCACATACCACAGTATTCAACTGTGTAAATTTGACTTTTTTATAATCTTACATGTCTCTAGTTAACTTTTTTAACATATGGAATATAATGATAACTGATCTAATGTTTTTGTCTGCTATTATGTGCCAGTTATAGGTTGATCATAACAGATTTATTATTCTCCACATAAGTCATGTTTTGTCACTTCTTGTATATATGGTCATCTTTGACTGAATGACAAACATTGGAAATCTTAACTTGTTGGATGCTGAGTACTTCTAGATTGTTATAAATCTTCTTGAGCTTTATTATGCTACTTGGAACCAGTTTGATTCCTTTGGGTCTTTGGTGGGTCTAAAGTAGTGCTAATGGTAGAGCTAATTATAGCTCACTTTTGAAGCAAGAGCTTCCTGGGTACTATCCACAATGCACCATAGAATACAAATTATGGGCTCGTAGGAACATGCACTATTCCCAGACCAATGTGAGTGGCAGGATCCGCTCCTCTACACCTTTCATATGATTCTTCCTCTGTTGAAGTCAAGGGGATCCACCATAGCTCTCTCCTTTTTGATAATTTGGCCTATGGACTCTAGCTGCCTTGGTCTCCCTGTATTCCCAACCTCTATTGCCTCACAAAGTCTGCTGGACTCAACCTCAATTTCTCCTCCCTATGCTGCAGCACAGGAACTCCCGTAGGCATTAAGCTGGGACAATTACAGTGCACATTACTTGTTTCCCACCTGCCAGGGCTCACTGTCTTTTGTTGTCTTATCTCCAATGACTTGAAATCCATTGTTCCGAGTATGTTATCTGTTTTTGGTTGTCTCACATGAGAGGGTAAGTCCAGTCTTGTTATTCCATGTTGACCAGAAGCAGCTGTTGGTCACCAACTTTGTAATACTCCAATGTGTTTACTATTAAAACATGGTGCTAAGAAACAGGAAACAGAAGTTTCCTCTTATAACCTTTATAATTAGGATATTACCATAATCTTAAAATCAACACTTCTTATTCTCTAGCTTTTAAGTACCAGTTGTATGAATCTTACTGATAAAAATATTTTAAAAATAAATATACTGAAATTGCAACAACAGTTTTTAATAGATGTAAGAGACTCAATATTTGGACGTTCCATGGCTAAAGCCTCTATGGGAAATTAGGGACACTTCAACTTAAAAATAAAACCGACACATATCTTTAATATAACACTGTATTCTCACCTATCAAACAGGGCCAAAAGTGTGAGTCTGTCAAAGTTAATGCCAATCCATAGTTGGGGCAGGATCCAAAAGCGGTAATAGTGCTTGACCTTTTGGGCAGCTTCTTCTGTTGGACCGTAAGTGGCTGCCAAGTCAGGGCTTAGATCAATGTCCTGTTGCTCCAACAGATCTGTATCGATGGTCAATAGTCTATTCAACCGTATCTGTGGGAGAGAAAGCTAAAAGAAAGTCAGCAATAAAAGGCATAAAATATTTTAAATCATGACTCGAGAGTAAATCAATTAGTATATAAGTTACCTAAGCCCTTTAATTCCCTACTCTAGGTTTACTCCTTAAGAATATTATATGATCATTAGAAACTACAGAAGGTGACATTAGGAAGTGAAAACAAAGCAAAATCAATAGACCTTTTGAAAAGGTTTTATTAGAAAAGGTATTTGTTGGCCAGCTCCATAACCTAGTGGTTAAGAAGGCTGCATCCTACATAGCTGACTGGTTTGAATTGAAAAACAGGTGTGTGTGTGTTTGTGTGTTTGTGTGTGTGTGTGTGTGTGTGCCCCAAATCCTGAAATATGGAGAAATGGAGAAGAGACTGTGGCATAGTCTAATGGCGAGTGCTTTCTCCCTCCCCTCACCCCTTCTCTCTGACAAATGTACATGCTCTTTAGCAAATTAAAGAGAGAGAGAGAGAGAGAAGTAAAAGAAAAGGAAAAGGTGTTTATAATCTCAAGATTTTATGACCATATATCTAGTGAATTCCTTAAAATCACTATGATTTGTGAATCTTAAGTGGCTTTCCTTCTCCTTGACATTGTGATGGTCTTTTCACATGAAGCTATGAACCTCATTAGTGATGTCGAGTCTGAGACCTTCAACTCTTAAGTCTTTTCTACTGTATCTTATCCGTGTTATTATTGATATCTAATGCCTTCCCGTTACTTATTTATTTTTCTTGAGGGGGAGGACAGGCTGCTCACCTGTGGCTATATAGAAAATTATTACAAGACTTGCTTTTAACTTTAACTCATCCATTCATCAGTTCACCAGTTTCCCTTTCATCAAAATTTCACTATATTGGCCTAGCACTAGGCAGTATTTTGCTATCACAAGACTCCCATAGCAATTAAAAATGGAAAGCAATAAAATCACCATTTTTTGTTTTCCTATGGGGTTTCCAGAAATACACTATAGCAAAAGATGGTGCCAGCAGGTGGTGTAGTGGTTAAGGCGCTAGACTCCCACATGGCTGACTGTAGTTTAAGCGCCAGACCCAGTGGCTTGAAACACACTGAAAGTGTGTGCGTTCATGTCCAAAATCCCAAGAGAAGAATGGAGGAGGAGGGATTACAGCATGGCCATTCCCCCTGGAAGGTGATTTCTCACTTTCTGTCTCTCTGTCTCTCCAGTAAGCGCACATGCCCTATTGCAAAAATCTCTTTAAAAAAAGAGTAAGGAGAGTCTCTACTGTTAAAACATCTATATAAGTCGATAAAATTTGCTTCTCACTTATAACATAGCCAGACATTTACATTTTTTTCTTATCCTTGATGTCAGTGTTTCTCAACATTGGCACTGCAGACATCTTGGACCACATAATTCTTTGTTGTAGGGTCTTTGCCACATTCCTGGCCTCTGTCTACTAGATACCAGTAGGATCTTTCAGTTGTGACAAGCAAAGATGTTTGTAGCCATTGCCCAATATCCACTGGTTAAAACCACTATTCTAAGTCAATTCACATGTATTTTAAAACCCCACTCACAGGACCAAGTATATGGAATAGTGGTTACGTCCCTGGACTCCCACAAAGTTGACTGTGGTTCAAGTCCTAGATCAAGTAGCTTGAAACTCATGCTAGTTGAGTGTGCGTGCATGCCCAATATCCCAGGAAAAGAATGGAGAAGGGATTAAAGCATGGCCATCCCAACTGGGAGGTGATTTCTTACTTTCTTTCACTGTCTCTGTCTCTCTCTCTCCCCATCACCACAGCAACTGCATGTGCCCCAAGGCAAAAACCTCTTAAAACAACAACAACAACAAAAGACTTGTTCACAACTCATCTTCAGAAAGCCACTAAAATTTAATCCTTCTGTGGCACTAAATTCATCTACATGTATCTGTATGTGTTCTTTATAAGGATTTCATTGTTTTAGCTGTTCCATATTAAATTATTCATCTTGATGATGAAATAGCACTTTTAAAAAGATCTCTACTGTATCTCATACGGCATCATTTTATACAGTAATATCATTATTTACTGGTAAGTGAAGTTACAAAATGGCACAACAAAACTGGCATAATCAGATTAAGATGTTGGCAAGTGGATCTTTATTTTTTATTTATTTATTTTTTTGGAGAAGTTTTTGCTATAGGGTGTGTACACTTGCCAGAAAGACAGAAAGCAAGAAGTTGCCCCCCCGGGGGATGGCTAGGCCGCAATCCCTTCTCCTCCATTCTCCTCTTGGGATCTTGGGCACGTACGCACATGTGCCTAATGTGAGTTTAAGCCACCGGGTCCAGGACTCAAACCATGGTCGACGATATGAGAGTCTAGTGATATAGCCATTTCACCAACTGCTGGTCCCTGGCAAGTGGATCTTTAAATAAAAATGTATTATTACTGATTTATAAATAAGGCTATAATTAAACTTCATGATATTTACGCTTGTTTCTTGTCAAAGGACTTAGAAGATATCTACTATGGGACAGTAGAGGCAATTTTGTCATAATTTTCAAAAAAAAATGATATAGGGAAACTTCATCAATTTTTCAGATTTTTACCACTATCTATATATACTTAATATTTATATCTGAAAATACATCATATTATAAAAATAAAGCCAAACCTACCACATCATGTGGATAAAATCGAACTGAGGTAGAACTGGATACATGAGAATCCGTGTCGCTAAAATAAAATGAAAAAGACTTTAGGGAATAAATGGTTTGTGAAATAGTATAAAGAAAAATAAATCTTTAGGAATTAGATGATATCTACACTATCTTCATTTTTCCATGTAAACTTCAGAATGCAAAATAGCATTTTCCTAGGGCTGTGATTAAGAACACAGTCTCTGGGTCAAAGGATATATACTCAAATCTCTTCTTTAAGTGATGAGATCTGGGACAAGTGCTCTAACCTTTTTATACCTCAGTTTCTTCATCAGTAACGTAAGAAAATAGTACATCTTTCAGGATGTTCTTATAAGTGTTTAAATGAGCTAGCCAAAGAAAGCAATTAACACACTATCTAGAACCAGTAAAGATGTGATGAACTTAAGATACAATATAATAGCCTAGAACATGACATAGTTCAGTCATGTTTAGGTTTCAAGATGTGAAGCCTTCCCACATGGATGGTGTCAGAATTGTTCTTCTCTTGAATTACACCAAATACATTAACTGTTTCCATTCTTGCATCCCCATATTGTTCCACTGTTACAGAATTAGGTAACACTATAGTAATTTTTTGACAAGGTGAATTCTGAAATTGGACGAAAGGAGCTTTCAGCAATGTATAGTAATCTGCTATTTTTTTCAGCAAGCTGAGCTGAATGACAGCTACCTTAAATAAATGGCCCCTCAAAACTTAAAGTAGAAGCAAACTGCTCATAGATATAATCAATTATTTAAACAGATGTAACCAATTATTAAACAGAAGTTCTAAAATAAGAATCAAATGACCCTTGTGAGGAAATGAAGTTAATCAATAATCAATTCCAAAAGAGCAATTTGAATAAACAATAGATAAAAATTTTTGAAAACAAAATTTAATACATTCTAAAAATTATAATTCATACACTATATGATAAAAATTTCTAATTTATTTGCTTCTCTTTTTATTATTTTACAAATTCTTTTCTAAGGAAAGAAAAGAAGCTAAATATATAATTTATTTTTTAAAGTTCTTTCTGGGGACCAGAAGATGGTATAATGGTTACATTGCTGGACTCCCATGTAGTCGACCACAGTTTGAGTCCCAGATCTGGTATCTTAAAACTTTCCCTGGGCACGTGTGCACGTGTGCCCAAAATCCTAAGAGGAGAAGGAGGAAAAGAGATTGTAGTGGGGTCATGCCCCCTGAGGGAGGTGATTTCTCACTTTCTATCTTTCTGCCACTGACAAGTTCTTACGCCCCATAGCAAAAATCTCTCTTTAAAAAGTTCTTTCTGAGAGTAGTTAAAAAAAAAAAATTAAGGAATCATTTTATGTAACTTTGTTTATTTTAATATGACCAGAGAGGGACAGAGAGTGTTGAGGGGGCGGGGAGAGGATGAGAATGCAAGCTGCCTGGTCCAGTACTTGAACCATGGTTGGCCATGTAAAATCCAGCACCCTAACCACCACATCGTCACCTGTCAGCCCCAGTAGTAAAATACCTTAATATAAAACTTATTTTTAAAAAATACTTGACCAAACTCTTACAGGGAACAAAAATTTTTAATTGCATAAAAAAAAAGAATCGATAAGTTTCACCTTAATTACTAAATATTTTTCTGATTTTCTTTTATATTCTATCACATGGCATATAAAATCTACAGTTAAATTTGAAACTGAAGGAAAACATTGCTTAAATGAACCATCTACAGGGAATTTTTACTTAATTTTTCAACACAAAATAGCTTTTATTTTTCAATTAATACTTTACTTTTTTTTTTTTTGCTATAGGGCGCATGCACTCGCCAGACAGACAGAGAGGGACAGAGAGACAGAAAGCGAGAAATCACCCCCCAGGGGGGATGGCAACGCCGCAATCCCTTCTTTTCATTCTCCTCTCGGGATCTTGGACACGGACACACACATGCCCGGCATGAGTTTTAAGCCACCAGGTCCAGGACTCGAACCGTGGTCAACTACATGGGATTCCAGCGACATAGCCATTATGCTAACTGCTGGTCCTAATACTTTACTTTTCATAGCAAAAAGAAAAAAAAAAAACTTGTAAGTTCTTTGGAAATAAATGTATTTGGCAAATTATTAAAGTCAATACAAACGTGTTCTCAAAATAACTTTTATATCTGACATGGTGACTACTAGGAATGTATTGCATACTAGAAAGTTGCTGAGAGAGTAGATTTTTAAGTGCTGTCACCACCAAAAAAAAACCCAGTAAGTATTCAAGGTAATACGTAAGTTAATCAGATTGTTTTAGCCATCCCACAACACATACATTAGTTCAAAACATGTTGTACACTATAAATAAATACAATTTGTATTTGTGAGTTAGACGAATAAAGTTTTAACAATCCCAAAATTTAACTTTTACATCTCAAGGCTTAAAAACTTTTTCAACATGACAAATTTATACAAGTACACACAAACTCCTTAAGTGACTTTACACGTACCAGATATTGGATGCTCTTCTTGCTGCTGGTTCAAAATTCACAAGTGACATATCACAACCACCAGTCTCATAAAGCGTAGAAGAGAACTTACCTAGCAAATAAAATGATTTTTTAAAAATATCATTAGGATACTGAGTTTTCCTTCATGATACACTAAATTTCATAACTTTCTACATTTTAAGAACATATACTGTAACCTTTTTTCTAAAGTATTATAAAAACAATGACTGGCCTGTAATTCGGCATGATGTAAGTTGAAAAGGAATCCTAGATAGGAAGTAACTGTCGACATACTTAAGGAGGTATGAAAATTAAGGGACTGAAGTCATTTTCAATTCCAGTCTCTTTCTCTTTTTTCCTATCAACCCATTCTCAATTCATGTAATTATATAAGTGAATTTAATATTATTTGAAAGACATCTGACCACAGATTATAGGTAGTGAGTGGCTATTTGCAAAAGCTGCTTACATTTTGACACCGCTCAAACTGCAAGATACCAAAATTATGCAATGTTCTCTGAGTTTTGTCAAAAAGAAATGTGTCAAAATCGATCTAAGGAAAATCAATTAATTGAATTAGCTATAATGATGATGATCAAATTTTAGTATTTAATGAACCCTATGAGATATGTCATTTTACCCCACAAGGGTTAAATGCTTTTCTATGAAAAACAGGAAAAGTAGCAGTTGAGGCCAAGTATCTCTACAAAACTGATAAAAAGTTTAGAACTATATTGGTTGTAAATGTATACAGGTGTATAAAACTCTCTTAAAATAAAGTGTATAATAAAAAATTGTTTCTGATAACAGAATTTTAATAATCTAGATAATGCTTGAACTGCATTCTTTACCTCAAGAACCTACAGTGGCTGCACAGATGGTGGGGAGGGAGCATAAATTAATGTAAATGCCCAGAGGAGTAATGAAAAGAGGTATATATAAATAATTCTGCAACAACTTGGATATGGTCCCAAATGCTTTGTTAATATTTATGAGGTTTTCATTTTACTAGCTGGAATTTCTGAGATTATAATACATGAGTAATGTTGGGACCAGCAGATGGCATAATGGTTATGTCACTGGACTCCCACTAGTCAACCTAGGTTCGAGTCTCAGACCCGGTGGCTTGAAACTCAGGACGAATATGTGTGTATGTGTGCCCAAAATCCTGAGAGGAGACCAGAGAAGGGATTATGGCGTGGCCCTCTACCTAAGGGGTGATTTCCCGCTTTCTGTCTCTCTGTCTCTCCAGTGAGCGCATGTGCCCTATAGCAAAAATCTCTCTAAAAAACAAAGAATATAAAAGGGCAATTTTAACTTGCTAATAGGGCTAAAAGTCAGATTCTTCCATGCCTACAGTGTGAACAGTATGCAATAAGGGCTTTTTAAATTGAAGTGAACTACTTGAAAAAATAATACAAGGATCTAATATACTAACAACATAATTAAGAGTTTACAGAATATTTCAACCATTACTTCATTCTTTAAAAGAAAAAATACTAGAAAAAATACTTTAATGAATAGGATTATTGAGTATTTTCTATGAATCATGGAATAGAATGTACAGACTTTGATTTTATTACAGTGGTTTCTTTGTAACATTTTTTGACCCTGTCAGAAGACTATACTCCTGAGATAAATGAGAGGGGAGAAAAGCATTCTGTGAAATGCTCAGTTCAGTTGCTATATATTTTCAAGGGAGGATTATTCAGCATGTGGATTATCCAAGACTCTCTTTTTCTCCCCCATCTTTTATTCATGGGTCAATCATTCTTACTACCTCTAAGAGATTAATGAAAAAATGAAATGACATAAGCTAACGATTTAGCTGCTGCTTAGATTTACTACTGTAAGTTTTCCAGAACTGGTACAATAAGCTGCAGAAATTGCTAAAGAAAAAACACTAGTTAAGGTCAGTGGTATGGTAGTTAAGATTTGGATTCCACATGGCCAATGGCACAGTTCAAGTCCTGGACACAGAGGCTTGAAAAACATGCCAAATGTGCGTGTCCAAAATTCTGAAAGAGAAATGAAGAAGGGACTGCAGTGTGGTCATCCTCCATGGGGGATGTTTTCTCACTTCCTCCTCCTCTCTCTCTGACAGGTGCTCAAACCCCTTGGCAAATCAAAAAATTTAAAAAAAATGAGATCCATAAACTTCTGTTATAATGTGTAATCTGTATATACATTAGAAATAAGTTAATTCTGGGGACCAGTTGGCATAGTGAATAAGGTGCTAGACTCCCATAGAGTTGATCACAGTTTAAGACCTGGACCTGGTGGCTTGAAAATCACCTGGTGACACAAAACCCAAGGAGGAAAATGGAGGAAAAGGGATTGTGACATGGCCATTGCCCCTGGGATGGTGATTTCTCACTTTCCCTCTCACTCTCTGTCTCTCCCCAGTAAGTGCATACACCCTATGGCAAAAACAAAACAAAACAAAAAAGTTAATTCTGTATTCAACAGAACTTAAACTTGTATAGTGTATCCTGATTATCTAAGTTTCCCCACAGGGTTTTTTTTTTATTAAGATAAGGTCTGTTCTTGGTTATTAAAATAACATTTACATATTATATTAAATCAACTAAAGATACATACTGTCTATGTAAATTTCAATTGGAACAAAGAATATCAAGTCATGATATACTATATTGTCTGTTATGTACAGCTATCTAGTAATAAATTAGTACTGAAATATTCTCATTTTAAATATGCAAACATAAAAGAATCTAGAAAAAGCCTCCTTTTCTAGACAAAAAGATAGCTAGCAAAGTTGAAGTTTTATTATTACCTAAATCTTCAACCTAAATTCTTCTAGATAAATTAACGACTAAGTAATAAAATTTAGAAATTTAAGTAGAAGCATACGACATGTCTAAGAAAAAGGAGGCTATGATTTTAGTAGATGGGCATAAACTTCAGCAGTACTTTATTTTTTCTGCCTACTAGACTTTAGGAGTATATTCGGGTTCTTAAAAATATGCATGAAACTTATCAGAACAAACTAATCCTTCACGGTGTATGCTCAAGTTAACGCGAAAAGAACAATTGTGTCCCCTAATATCTTTGGATTTTATAACTCATAGCAATTCAGAAATGCCAATTTTATACAGAAGATAAATCAGGGGGGGAAAAATCACACTGTAAAATGTACAGTTTAAGGTTTCAGTGAAAAACTAACATTTTAATATACTAATACGACAATCTACAAAAGGCAGTTTCAAAAATAATTCAAATAGGAATAAGTATATATTACTATTGGTTTATAAAGATTATCTTAAATTTGAACAAGTTTTGTTAGCATATGTAGCAATTCTACGTCTCATTTGAAACTAAAACCATAATCATGTTTAAACTTTAGATTCAAAGTAAAATGTGCCTTATTAATAACCCAATTTAAATATTATGTTGAATTAAGAAAAATACTTCAATTAAAATATTATTTCTAATACATATAAACTGGGAAGAAACTAGACAAGAAATACATTCTCCTGATATGAAATAATTTCATCATGATCATAATTAACTACATTTGATCTGATAAAATTACTGTCATAATATAAGGGAAAAAATCAATTAAAAAAAATTTTTTTAATTATAATTAATTACATTTGATCTGATAAAATTTCTGTCATAATTTAAGGGAAAAAATCAATTAAAAAAATTTTTTTGAATGAGAGATTTCTGCTATAGGGCACATGTGCTTGCCTGAGAGACAGACAGCAAGAAATCACTCCGCAGGGGGGATGGTCACACCGCAGTCCCTTCTCTTCCAGTCTACTCTCAGGATTTTGGGCACGCACGTACACGTGCCTGGCATGAGTTTTAAGTCACCGAGACCGGGATTCAAACTGCGGTTGACTATGTGGGAGTCCAGTGACATAGCCATTATGCCTGAAGAAACAAAATCAATTTCTGATCTTCTTGCCAAAAGTCAACCAAAAGTTAAAATAAAAAATATGACTGGAAGCTAGGATTTCCAGCCTGTAAATTGGCTATGAGATAGTACCTCTAAAAATAATAAGTTAACGGGGCCAATAGGTGGTATGGTGGTTAAGGTGCTGGATTCTCACAAGGTCAACTATGGTTTGAGTCCTGGACTGGGTGGTTTGAAAATCATGACAAATAAATACATAAGTAAATATGGGGACCAGCAGGTGGTGTGGTGGTTAAGGACACTTCCACATGGCTGACCAGGGTTCAAGCCCTGAATCTGGTGGCTTACTTTCTCACTTCCTCTCTTTCTCACTGTCACCCTCTGTCTGTCTCTGGTCAAACTAAAAAATAAGTGAATGAATAAATAAAATAAAATAAATAATTATTAAAAAATACATAAGTAAATAGTTTTTTAAAAGTTAAGATAACTGGCATTTCTAAATTCTGGATATAAGTTAATGATTGCTATTATCCATGAAATTTTAATGTGTTCATTACACAAAACTGTATTTTTGAGGTGAGGAAATTTCAAAGTAACAACCACAGGTCAACAAATAAAGAATGAGCAACATGAAGATAATTAGGTACTAATTTAAAGACCTAAGGATGCTTAAAGCATCTGCCTAAAGATGTGATTTTTGTGCTACACAGAAAAATCCTAAATAAACACTGGTAAAATACTGATAAAAATATAAGAAATTACTGGGATTCTCTGCTAGTCTTACCAATAAAAATCTTAATCAAATGATACAAAGTTAAGTACATCGAGATTTTAACAGTACTCACCTATCACACACATTCTTACTGCATTCTTGAGGTCACTGATTTTTCTAAAGATAACTATGTATCTTGGAAGGAGGTGGTTATTAGAAGGATAAAACACCTACAGTTTTCTAATCCTCCAAGTACTAACAACAAAACAGGTTTCTTCTGAGACCAGCAGATGATATAAGGGTTACGTCAATGGACTCCCACCTGGTCAACCATGGTTCATGTCCTGGGCCCGGCGGTTTAAAACTCATGGAGGGTGTGTGTGTCCCCAAAATCCGAAGAGAAGAATGGAGGAGAAGGGACTGCAGCATGGCCATATTCCCGGGGGATGATTTCTTGCTTTCTGTCACTCTTCTGTCTCTCTCTGACGAGTGCACATGC